AAATTAAAGCTGGGTGAGACATCAGATTTGTTCTAATATTATATTTGTTTCTAGTGTGTCTTGTTCCACTTACTATCTTAGCCTTGAAGATGTCCAGCAGGCCTGACAGGTGGTTGTACTGACTCGGCACTTTGCGAAGGTGGACCATCTCAAAGTCTGTGCGCACCCCCGGCCCCTGGCACTCTCCAGCATACACCCGCCTCCACTTCTGCTGGATCTGCACGAACATGGGCACCTGGCTGAGAGAGGCGGAGGAAGAGGAGTAGGTGTTACTTTCAAGAATTCAATGTGTTCCATCTCATGGAACAACAACGTTGATTTAGCTGCTTTCCCCTCGTTGGACTAACACAAAACACAGCCAGAATATTTATAAGGGGCTCTTTTCACGTGTGTTGGTCTATAGAGACTCACCAGCCGCTGTTGGCCAGAGCGATAGACACGGAGCTGTGCAGCAGGTTGCATTTGGACTCACTGATGATGGCCTCACAGTTAGTTCCTGGAGTGATGACCACAAACTCTCTGATGCCGTACCTGAGAGAGGAGACACAGATACAGCAGAACACAGGTATCAGTTTCATAGACTTCTCCACTTTGCCATCTTTCCCCATCTGGTCCACTATCGGTCAGTGTGCATTTTAGAAGCCTGGTTTATGCTTATATTACATATATGTTTGCGACAGACAATATGTAGACTTTCTACCATAGTTGACATATCAATCCCACCAAATGATGTTGTTTTGCCGAGACTTTAATCCAAAGCAAATGACAATGCCGTAAACAGGCCTATACAGCAATCTGGTGTTAAGTATCTTGCCCAAGGACACTTCAACATGTTGACTGGGGATCAAAGCCCTGACTCTTTGATTGCTAAATGCCCATATACCCATATCAGCCTCATAGCTGTGATAAAACTGTAAAATTATGATATGGGGCCTCCTGGTGGCTGGATGGTTTGAGGTTACATTCTACTTTCTATGAGGCAACATTTTGACAAGTAAAAAATGCCATTAAATTCATATTTGTACTCCCTCAAGTCAATTTGATCAATGTTGGCTGTTAGACAGGAAAATGACATCCCCATTATTAATTGTGTTTACAAATCTCTGACTGGTTATCTGCTGTCAATGAGGTATGCCTTCATTCAAAATCCAACTAAACCTGAGTAAGTGAGCCTCTGTAACTTGAAATAAATTAAAGTGTGTACAGCTGAGTAGTTAACTGTAATTTCCAGACATACTTGACAAAAACATAGACAGGGAACAGAAATAAAAACATAATAAAAGCAGAAACTCACCATCGGACCAGGCAGTGAGCTCGGGGGGGGAAGTCGTTGTTCATACACAGAAGGTCCTGCATGGCCAGGGGGAAGGAGTCTACACACAACAACCAGAGTTAGACAAACACTTACTGTGATGGGGAGGAAAGTGTCAACATTCACTAGGATAACAGCATAAGTAATACGTTACGTTTTTTCCAATTTCTTTAGGCCTAAGCTTTATGCCTACTCAATGGAAAGGGGATATGCAAAAAGCACACACACAACTGTACAACATTAAGTTAAAGTGCAACTACTAACACCTTGCTTTTGACTCATCAGGTAAACAACATATTATGGGACATTCAGAGATAAGTGTACCTTCCTCCAGCTTGTCCTTCCCATTGTCCTTCTCACACTCTTGTTTCAGGAAGTAATGAGTAATGTAGAACTTAAAGTCAGCAAAGTTGATATCCAGACACTTTTCCCCCCAAGTGCCAGAGGTGTATTCACCCTGTGTTCAAACAAAAAAGAATGATACATGAGTAAAGGTGAAGAACCTACTGGTGTTTATCATGTGAACATGTGAGGCTCATTGAGAGTAGCAGACCTTCTCTGGGTTCACACTCCCTGCAGAGAGGCCGATCAGCTTCCATTCATTCAGCACCTCCTCCACTCTGGACACAAACCTTTCAAAGGAGAGATGAGTTGAGCTGTCAGAGGCAGGGATTGGCTGGATATAAACAGTGTCCTACTGTATGTTGGCATGTATCAATAAATGTTTGTCTGGACATGAGCTATCTTGGTATTAGTCAATTAGTCAGATTGTCATCAATATAATGGCGCATAATACTAATCAATTCAATATTATAAAAAGCACAAAACCCATAACCCTTAAACCCATTCTCTGGCTCTATCTGATCAAATCTGAATAATGACTGCTCTTCATCTTCACATTTTTTTAAGGGGAATATATTTGGGCTTAAGATTGATGGTAATCAAAGTGCATTAAGAAGTACTAGTTTAGGCAAAAACTCCTCAGTGCCAGTACCTACTTAAGTACACTCTGTGCGCTCTATAGGTGGTCTGTATCGATTTGGCAACAGGCTATTTCTTTGATATTATTTACAATACAATGTGAACATATTGCTCTAATTACACAGATCTTAAATTCCCAATAGAATGTCCTGATATTGGCTCAGAGACTTTCTGACCGGATCTACTATACATCTGCGAGGTGAAGGTGCAGAGGCTTGCGGTGAAGACAGCTAGTTGTTCTATAGTTACCTCCCCTGTTTTCATCTAAACAATGCGTAAATTACACATTTGAAGGGCTTTATTTTGAAATAGCCAATCAGAGTGTCCTGATATTGACTCATTGACATTCTGAAGAGGTATGCTATCAATCTGAAGTGAAACCAGTGCCAGGCAACACACCTTTTCCTTTTAATTATAATATACCAATGTCGTTATAAAATATCCTTTTCACGTGTCGTTTTGTCAGACTTACTGACATTAACAAATAAAGGTATAATTGCCAGAAACACCAGAGTTTAGCCTTTATTTTGAAGTCCCTTCATCCATGTTCCTATAGTAAACAGAGGTGGGAGAAGTACTCAGATGTTGTACTTGAGTAAAAGTAGAAGTACTCAGATCTTGTACTTCAGTAAAAGTAGAAGTACCAGAGTGTAGGAATACTCTGATACAGTAAAAGTCCTGCATTCAAAATGTTACTTAAGTGAAAGTAGAAAAGTATTATCATCAAAATATAGTTAGAGTACCAAAAGTAAAAGTAGTGATTGTGCAGATTGGTCCATTTCAGAATAATATATATGATATGTTTTATAATGATTGATCATGAAAGTGTTCTCAAAGCTGGTAAAGGTGCAGCTAGTTTGAATGACTTTGTATACTGCAGGGTAGCTTGTGGATTTACTCCAGGTGGAACTAAAGTCTGATTTAACACTTGATTAGATTTCACATCATTCATCCACATCTGTAAAGTAACTAAAGGGATTAAATACATGTAGTGGAGTAAAAGTACACCATTTACCTCTGAACTGTAGTGGGGTAGAAGTACAAAGTAGCATCACATTGAAATATTCAAGTAAATTACAAGTACCTCAAAGTTGTACTTAATTACTTGAATTTACTTAGTTACTTGACACCTCTGATAGTACCTACAATATACTCGAGCCGCAGGAAGGGAGGAGGCTTCACAAACTTCACATGACTCTACATTATCATTGTAGCCTACACTACCTCACTTCATGTTGATTTATACCAGGGAGAATGCAAATACTGTTCGGCCTTCATTATGTACACTGGTAGCCTATTTGACAGCACGTTCTTGACAATAAAACAGCAACATTTCCCCAACATAATAAGATAAACATGATGTTAATGATACCCCAGCAGCCATGGTATTACAACAGTTCTCAGTTCCTTCTGACATGTCATGTTGTCTTACCGTTCCCACTCTGACGCGGTGGTGAAGTCGGTGATCTCAAACACCTCTGACTCAGGCTGCGAGAGAAACAAACGGGTTCATTACATTTCAATAAATATATATTATAATCTGCCCTAATGCAATACACGCTTAGACAACAATGCTAACCCTTCTACATCGAGCTATTAGACTAAAGAAACTCACATCACTGTCAGCAGCCATGTCGGTGTCGTGTTGTTGTTGACTTTTTCCGCCTTCGTCACGTCCTGTTTCTGTTTCTATTTCCGGCAGGCTAGACGCTACGTGGCGTTCACTGCCCCCTAGCGTAAGCAAATATAATCATACAATTCACCTCAAAGCTACATTTTGGAGTAGTAATTTATTAAAAAATACTTTTTTTTAAAGAATGTGCTCTACCATGGGATGGTAAAGATGGTAAATAGCTCTTCTTGTGAGCAGAAGGAATCGAGTTCCCAGATATTCTAACAAAGGACTATTGTTTCCTTTTATTTTAATGCAGTCCCACTCAAAATGTGCATGTCACCTTTAAACGCCTCCACCTGATCTAACTGAGTCTGAAATAAATGACATTTGTTCCAAAAACTAAACTTGATAGGCTAAAACAATAGTTCAACACCATGGTTTATCCACGCCCGGTGTAATACCATGTTAGGCCTTACTGTCTGGGGAACATTGTCTCTTAAGGTGTATATAATATTTTTGATTTCATTCATGAAATGTAGTGACCTTTCTGTTAACTGCAACCTGTGACATACTTTGTGTTACAATATATTCTGATAATGTAGATTCCACTCTAATCACTGCATGGCGCAGTTGCTCTGTCTACAGATTTAGTTTTAGATATTGCAATAAATGTGTTCATATTTATTTTATTTCATCTTAAGCTTCTTGATGAAAAACATAGAAAACCCACATGACTGTAAGGATTGTGGATCAGTAGCCTCATCTGGGACTCTAATACTAAACATTTAATAATCATAATAATAAAAAAAGAACTTAAAAAACATGGGTTCTGGACACTAAATCGACCTATGTACATTCAAACATAGAACATGTGACTTCATTCTACCATAGTGTAAATTGGAAAAGCTGATTAATACCACATTTCTTCAATCTAAATGTGACCTGCACACACACATATGTCATTTGCTTTGCTTTACTAAGCTGTTTTCACAGTATACATTAACAGTAAGCCCTGTAGAATGCCCACACATTCACATATTCTTTATCTCCCTTTACATGTTGAATTTTTGGAAAAACACAAAATAGTCATACACTTATTAGCGAGATGCCTTTATTAGTCATAACAAAAAAAATACTGGAAATATTACAATAATATAAGAGATGAGCATACACTGTCTCTTCCTTCTCCTCTTCACAGCAATCACTCCCCACGTCTGCCTCCAGTCAGCAGACTCTTCATAGACCAGGTGGAGGTCTCAGAGGTCGCGCTGACTGCTGCGGGGGGGGTCATGAAATTAAGTGAGGGTCATGGGAGTCAGAGACAGCTCTGGGAGGATAAGGCCTTCCAGCAAAGACCCCAGGAAAGAGGAGATCCCCCTACTAGATCAGTTGTGTCCTAATACAACAGCGGCCTTAGTAGTCATTCACAACCTAACAGCTGACTTAAGGAAAGATACAGCATTTAGTGACACATTAAGGTACCTATTCACTATCCAAATACTGTAACAGTCACTAGTTTTGGCCCTCAGTAACACCTTGTGTTCACACAGAAGTCAATCAGTAACACGTTTGTAAGCTGGGAAAAATGTGCCTGGACAGACCCTTTCACCTTATCAGATATTATTATTTCCTTGTTTGCTGATCAGTGTGTCTATTTCATAAACACTGCCTTATGAATCAAGGTAAGCCCCGTCACGAGTTATCCATCTTGTAATGCAGCATCTTCATTTCTACACATTGTTTTTAGTACTGCAGGATACAAATAATAACAGTTTGTTACAAAAATTAGTACCTATTTTTCATTAGTACCAGGGCATAATAGTATTTAAGGGAAATTGATAAAAACAAATGAAAACAATCCCTTGAAAATAGACTGAATTTGAACGTGTTTTTTCAGCATGTCATGTCAGAACCATCTGTTTTACAAATCAGAATGGTTTATCAATATATTTTTTAAGTATTTAATGACACTGTTAGCAACTGTATGCACTACATTAATACACATATTTAGTTTTAGGATGCTTTCCATCATTTGTTTGTAACCGTTAACAACCTGCTTTGCATAAAGGCAACACATTATGAAACCAACAGCAACACTTTTAAAGTGATATGATTGCTACCTCTGACACAGGTAAACACATTTATTTTGGACAAAATAAAATATAATAAATACAAAATAAAACAAAAAAAGACTCCAAATGTCCATATAACCAATACTATCAGGTCATCTTTTGCCAGTCCAGAAGTATTTCGTTTCCCATGGCAGTGTAACAGGGTCGTGTGTTCATACTGTTACTGAGCCAGCCTCTCATGCTATGCTAGGCTACATTCTTTTGTATAGTTGTTGTGATGTTAGAAGCACAGGTGTAACATGGTGTGTAAGACAATCTATTACCATTTAGACATGTTAATAATACATTATTGAATGATATTTACTGGCATAGCTCCCTTATTTATTTCAATATATAATCAATAATGCCAAAAACGAATTCATCCAGCAATGAAGTGTACTGGTCATTCAAATACATGCAAATGATTTACTGATACGTTTGTAACAGTCATTTGGGGGTCAATGTTATCTGGTCATAACAGGAGGATACTAGGATTAAGAAAGAAAGTCTTATAACCTGCTGAGCTACAACCAAAATACTTCTTGGCAGCCTTTAAACACATGTCTCTTTTGAACACACCATGTCCACACTGCGCTCTCCAGAGCCAGATGTTCTGAGTAACACGTTGATATGTGCATGATATTCATTGTAGCCTTGAACCTAACACTTGGTTTGATATAGATTCAATGTCTGGTCACTGAAAAACAAAGTAACACAGGGATTGACCAATGAGCTCTTTACACATGCTTCTATTACTGTCAAACTCAGAAGCTAATAGCCGTCCAATTCTCTGTATGGGAGACATTTAGAGGAAAATAAAAGAGTTCCTGAGATGCCAAATTATTTGTAAGTCCCTGGGAGACTGGTTCTATCTGAGCAGATGCTGTAGGAGCTGGTCTACTCACAGTTAAGATATCATTTGCCAATTTCCTCCATAAAAACGGTAAGAAATGGGACACTTAAGTATTTATGTCTGCCTGCTTTGCTGTTAGCTACAGATACACATACCTTTTTAAACTGCTCTCAGTTTGTCTTCCATTGAAGCCTGATAGTTTTGAGTATTGCTTGGTCATTTTATAAATAGATGGAAGGAGCCTGTACAAACATGTTATGTAATGAATGATTTCGTGTTGTGGAATTCATACTGCATATTCTTCCCTAAATAGAAAAAAAATCCTAATTTTCTTGGATTCTGCTTTGAAAAAAGCCTGTGTCAGTAGTTAGAACAGTCGTTTTTTAATAACTTCCTAACTAATTAGTTATTGGCCACTGTATAGCTGGCTCATGATAAGAAATTAAAATTGGGATTCCTGCTACAATCCAAAAAAAGTGTAAATGAAATACAGTAACATAGGGAGACCTATCTTAGAATAGCTAAGGTATTAACTGACGGCACCATTTTACACGCCCGACAGGAAGATAAGAGCTCTGATAGGTAAGAGAGTGAGTCCATTGCCTGAATTGAGCAATGAGATTTGAGAAGGTGCATTAGGGAATGTAGGGCAAAATGGCACAGGACTGAAACATGCTGTGTGTTATTCTAACGAGGTTAAAGGTCCACATCCTGAACTAACTGGAGTCAGACATGTTGGGAATGTTGTGGTGTTAGTATGCAGGTGGAGGTGTGGCTGGGGCGTCAGACAGGGAGCTGTGGATGATGGAGCTGATGGACTCCACCCCCTCCCCCTGCAGGAAGGAGCGGTGGTCTCCCTTGATGATGTGGACTGACAGCTTCCCATCACATACCTGCGCGCGCGCACACACACACACACACACACACACACACACACACACACACACACACACACACACACACACACACACACACACACACACACACACACACACACACACACACACACACACACACACACACACACACACACACACACACACACACACACACACACACACACACACACACACACACACACACACACACACACACACACACACACACACACACACACACACACACACACACACACACACACACACACACACACACACACACACACACACACACACACACACACACACACACACACACACACACACACACACACACACACACACACACACACACACACACACACACACACACACACACACACACACACACACACACACACACACACACACACACACACACACACACACACACACACACACACACACACACACACACACACACACACACAAATCAGTATCTGAGCAGAGAGATATACAAAGACTTTCTGAGGGAGGGCCTCGTCAACTAGCTATAAAGCTAAAGTGAAACATGAACATTCATTATTAATTTAAAAAATAGTATTCAGAGAAGAATAAAAAAAGGAAATAATGAAAATTTGAAATATGCGTTATATTTAAATAATTTAAAAACAATGGCATTTCTGGTAAAAAAATAACAGTAAGAAGACAATTATTAAATAATCATAATAATAATACAAATATTAATAATAGTAGAATAAGTAAAAGAAGAAAAAAAGGAAACGAGTAAAAATAAAAAAGGAAAGAAAATAGAAAAATGTCATTAAAAGAATAAATGATTATGGACATTACCTCTCTGAGCTTGTAGTCAGACCCCAGGTTCTGTTCGTACTCGCTGCTGGTTTTGGCTCGCAGTAACGTCACGTTGCCATGGAACTTTGTTGTGGGCACATAGCCGTCAGCAGCCTTCAGCTTGTAGTAGAAGGTGGTGGCTGCGAAGTGCAGCAGCTCCCGGCTGATGTTCTTGTGGGCGGAGGTGATCAGGTCCACCGCCGTGCTGACCCGGGCCTCCAGGTCCGCCAGCGGGAGGAGGACCTCCAGGAGCTGCAGTGCAGAGGGACAGCCACGGTTATTTATAGAGCACATTTCAGCTATTCAAAGTGCTTTAAAAAACAACATAAAAAGGATTAAGGAAATACTTAAAAAGAAACACATTATTAGTTACATTCAAATACATTTTGTGTGCAAATGTCCGGGGCTGTGTACCTTGTTGTATGCGATGCCGGTGAACTGCTGGATGAAGGCACACAGGGCTTCAGTTTCAGCCTCAGACTCTTTGCCTGGGGTCAGCTTGGCCCTGTAACTCTGGAAACCAAACACTTAGTTAACATGACATAACCAACATACAATTATTTTAAACTTTAAGGTTTCCCCAAATGTGTAAATTGCTGTGTACTAAAATATCGTCAGATTATTTCATGTTGGCTCTTTTCTCTCACCTGGGTGTAAGCTGCCACATAAGAGTGTGATCCATCGAACAGGAAGAGGTACTCCACAGGCAGGTTCAGGGTCTGAAGCTGGGAGCACATTTCAAACGCCACACAGGCCCCAAAAGAGTATCCAGCAATCCGATAGGGCCCGTCCGGCTGCACCTGTCTGATGCAGTCCACATAGAACGCTGCCAGAGACTTGATGCTGTCCAGAGGAGCGGCTGGGGGGGGGGGGGGGGGAGAGAAACAAGTATGAGCTTGGTTTGATATTGCATAATCGGTTTAGGGAAAAACACCTTATAAATATGGGATTTTAGGGTGGTTAGCAGAGGTTCTCAGGTCTAAAATGAAATTGACAATAACAATATATAGAACGTTTTTATCTGTATCTGGCTCTGAAAATAGCTTGAGGCAGCAGTTGCTAAGCCAATATGGAAAAGATTGGATATACTATATATCTGGGAACTTCTAAACCAGTTACTCTAAGAGCATTTCATTGAAACCATTATTTTCCCTTTGTCCTATATCTGTATTATTATATCTAACCAATTTGAAACCAATGTTTAAATTGATTAAATTCATGTTTAAGGGCTATTATAGTTAGGGTTAGATTAGTTTTAGGGTACTTGGTTAGTGATTTTTAGCTTGTGAATGTTTCTGTATAATACATTAACTCTTTAATTCTAACAAGTGACATGTAATGTAACTCTTTAATTCTAGGTGTGTTAGTATATTATAAATACTTTCTCTTTAGTGTCTGGGCCCCTATTCTAAAGCTTGGATAGCTTGTTGGGATGTCCCATTCTACATATCTCCATCATGTCTTGTATTTTGAAGCTTTTTGTGAATAAGATGAATAGAATTGGTTAAAAAAGAATACCTTTAGTGCACTGCAGGCCGTAGCAGGGAATGCTGAGCTTGGAGGTGAGAGTCTTGAAGGCGTGGATGGAGCCCTCGATAGGATGGACCAGGAACAGGGCCCTCTCCTGGCTCTGAACCTTGTTGAGGGGGGTCACCGTGGGGCCGTCGGGGTTCACCAACAGCTGGGTCAGATCAGACTCCAACAGAGCGTGAACACTTTCCCTCTTAGCTGCAGAGTCTGGAGATTAGGAAGTAGCAAAGACAGAACATTTATCAATAACAAAGAACTGGATTTAGACTGATCTCTCAGTGATATTTATTCATGATCCGCTCTTACTATTACCATTTGTTCCGCTTGGCTTGCTGCTGGCCAGCTCTCGCAGCTTGTTGATGGTGATCTGGCGGATTTCCCTCATCGCCATGACGATGTCGTAGTCCCGCTCCAGAGTCTGGCGAACTTCAACACCCATCAAAGAGTCCAGGCCCAAGTCAGCCAGAGAGGCATCAGGGTTCAGGCTGCTCACATCCCGCACACCTGAGGGGGGGGGGGGGGGGAGACAGTTAGGATCCTGCTTACTATGACTAAAAAGAATTAGGAAGTAGTTACAACAACACAAAAGGGTAATGATTGCTTTTGGACCGATTTTTGGTTAAATGCCTTTAATAGAAAAAATGTTTTATGTTGGGTACTTTAACTCCTGTTAGCAGAACATTTTTGCTACACAATTCTACTTTAAGAAAAAAATGATTATAGGTTTATGGCAAATTGTATTTTGATCTGTATATACAAGTAATTTCTTTTCATTACATATAATTATTTCAACCCCTGTACATGACTTTGTGAAATCCTACCCTTGAGACTTAAAACGTATATTAATATTTTTAAAGGCATTTCGCAACATATTTATTATATACAGTATTTATATTTGAGATATTTTTTTTTTATAAGCTATGCTTTTTGGCCTCAGGCTTCTACTAACTTTGTTTTGTTGTATCTTGTCAGTATATGTAAAAATATATAGTAAAAAAAAGACAGCTGAATGTCTTATCAGCCATTGTTTTTCCATCTCAGAGCACGGTTATAATCAAGTTTCAGATTTGTTAAACTTGTTGATTTAACACAATTAACTCAACCTAACAAGGAAAATGATTTAGTCATATAGCGTGTCCCTTACCCAGGATGTGTCCGACAGCATCCACTAGGTCTCTCTTGCTTCCCGCCTCGCTCTTCACCACCGTCCTCTCCGCCAGCACGAAGCTGGACATCACCGGGCGCTGCTGGCACAGGAAGCGGTCCAGCACCTCCAGACAGGAAGTGATGCGCTGTGGGAGCGTGCCACCGATCACTGCGTCGTTGCCCCCCATGGTCTCCAGCACCACGCCCACATCGCCGATGGCTCCCCACTGAACCGCCAGTCCAGGTAAGCCATCGTGTCTGCGCTTCTCACACACACGCTCCATGGCCGAGTTGGCGTAACCGTAGTTACTCTGGCCAGCGTTGCCACGGCCGCAGCTGACGGAGGAGAAGGCCACGAAATGCTGCAGGTCTGGACAAGACTTTCTCGTCACTCTGGAGAGGAAATAAAGTGCATTAAGATCCAGAGAGAAGCAAAGGAAAGGTCTCTGATATTAGAAGAAGGATGGTTGAGTGTGTCTTACTTGTCCAGGTTTACGGTTCCATCATATTTAGGTTTGTTAACATCGAGGAAAAGCTCAGGAGTCAGATTCTCCAACATGCCATCTTTCAACACCTGGTAATGACATAACAAACATGCAAAATAAGTTGAGATGAGATGTGAATTTAAATGTCGAAGTATTTTTAGATCAATAACACCAGAAAGGTTGGTTTTAACTGCGCGTTTGGATTAGACAGCAGTGCTAGCGTGAAATAAACACAGTTAAGAACTTCTGCCATAGTACCATAACATACTAAGGAATAATTATGTTCAAAATATTGATGTAAAGAGCAAATACTGGTGCGTCCATAAGCAGAATGTTCAGCATTAACAACAAACAAAAACACTTATAATGCCACTGATGGTCTAGTGTGTTACCATGGCGAGGTGGAAGACCCCCCCCAGAGGGCCCAGTGAGCCGGCCTCAGCGATGAGTCGCTCTGTTCCCTGCAGTGTGCTGACGTCATTGGTCGACACCAGCACCTCCACACCCTGTGACTTCCATTCACGAACTCGCTTCGCCTGGTAACCTAGCAACAATTACAAAGTGGAACTGTGAAAAAACGAGTTACAGCGATAGCACCTAGAGGAATTAGCGCATAGCACTGGTAGGCAATAGTAACCATGTAATCACACTGAATACAGCACTAGCAAGGCAGCTGTAGGCAATGGCAAGCTATAGTGGCTCAGTCTGTAGGGACCGAAGGGGCGCCGGTTCACGTCCCAATCGGACTAACCAAAAAAAAGGAAGATTTGAGTCTCTGGATTTTACTACACATTTTTCTGGCAACATTAGCTAGCTAAACTTGTCTGTTACCAACTTTAATAACAATACTGACAAAAGCAGTGTTTCTCTGTAATTGTATACCCGAAAAGTGGATGGGGACACCCAGGAGGAAAAAGTACATACATTTCAAATTTACATCAAATATTCCAGTGTTTTCCCTACTGTATATTCATCCGTGGCAGACCACCGTGAACTGCAGTGGAGCAGTGAGCTTGACTGGCTAAGGTTAGTTTAACTGAACAAGTGAAGTTAAAATAACCTTTCTGGTAGCCTTCAGGTTATAAGTGCGCTAACCTGCTGAATGATTTGATGTTTTTTGGAGGAAATATGTGACGCGATAAATGTGTACACCCTAATAAATACCACAGAATATTACACGATGGTAAGGCAGCTAATCTAGTATTCAGTTGTCTACCAACCATTTTTAAATAGCATTATCCTTTGCGCTGCCTGTGTTTTGCCCACAGCTACATTTCATCACCCCTGACGTCAGCTCAGTTACTCCTACAGTGCTTACCGTTCCTGATGCCTGATCTGGAGGTCAGCACCAGTTTGTGGGCTCCTCTCTCAGTGAGCCATTGAGCCAGCTCCAGACCGAAGCCCCCCAGTCCTCCAGTGATGATGTAGGAATGGGAGGGGGGGCAGAAGGTGCGACAGATAGCTGGGAAAGACACACGGGAAGCAGTTTGGACTGCTGAACCCTTCTCCTCATGACACACCTGTGTAAAGAGAACACCCAGTAAGAGGAAGTAAACTAGTGTGATGTCGTTTTGTTTTAATTTAAAGACAGAGCCATAAAACAATTATTAACAACTGCAAAACATATATGCCATATATCTTTCAGTTCTTTTTTCTAATTTCAATCATGAAAGCTTGGTATGTTTGGAACAAGTGCTAGATGAGACACTGACCTGCAGGAGGACTTTGCCGATGTGTTTGCCCTGAGCCATGTATCTGAACGCCTCCTCCACTTGGTCCCTCTCAAACACTGTGGTCTTCAGAGGCTGAACTACACCTCCCATAATGCCTTCCTTCAGCAGCTTGGACACATCCTCCCACTCATGGTTGCCTTCTTCAAAGAGGGCGTCCAACAGGATGCCGTGGAAGGCCACGTTCTTCAGGAACAGAGCCATGCCTGGAGAGATTACAGCAACATGAGCCAAGCATGCAAAACATCTACCAGGCCTTGGACCATTTTTAAAAGAGTGGTTGTGGTTTCAAAATGTACTTTGAGCTTTTTATTCTGTGCACAATGGCACAGGCACAATTGCAGTGTTAGTATCAACTCTATAAATAATGTTACAATATGCTTAAGTGTGTGAGCCTGAGGTGAACTGACCCAGTGGGTTGTTGTTTGACAGATCGTATTTGCCGATCTCCAGGAAGCGTCCGTGTCTGGCGAGACATCGAATACTGGCCTGCAGCTTCTCCTCTGCCAGAGAGTTCAGCACCAGATCCGCACCTGAAACACACACATCCAACATGTTTCAAAACCAAAGAAGAAGCATCACAAACACATCCCGGTTGGGGACTGCACTAGATTTTTTAAATCCTAAATAGAGATAATGATCAAATTGTGTCCCAGCAGGGGTTACTACAGAAAGTGTGTCTGACCTTTGCCCTGTGTGTGCAGCAGGATGTGCTGTTCAAAGGAAGTGTCTCTGGAGTTAGCGAAGGACTCTGCTGAGAGCTGAGGGAACCTCTGCTGCAGGTAGGACCGCTTCTCCGCTGAGCCTGCACACCACACACACACACACACACACATTAGAGGGTTCATTCAGTTTCTCACCAAGTTTCAATGATGAGATGATTCATGATACTTATAATTCAGGATTACTGCAGTTTTATTTAAGACTTTTTTAAAACCACATCAAATTAAATAACAAATACCCATTTGTATTTTGCAGTCACACTTGCAGAAGCATGAGGGAAACATGTAATATTTTTAAAAGATAATTCTAAAAGTTTTTAGGCCTATGTGTTACAGTACTAAGACTTTTTAAGGACCCATGGAAACCATGTAGTTATGATAAGATGACAAGAATGACTACAAACATTTAATAAAATAACTGTCACTGTGAATAAATAAACATACCGCAGTGAATGAGAAATCCTATCAGAGCTCATTATATTTGTCTGTATGACAGTGTGTAATGAGAGTGTGGAATGCTCACCGACTGTAGTGAAGACTTTACACTTCTTGCTGAGTGCGATGGCGATGGCGGCCTGGCCGACGCCCCCTGACCCTGAGTGGATGAGAACCGTCTCTCCGGGGCGGAGCCTGCCCCGCACCACCAGAGAGTAGAAGGCTGTGGCGTAGACCACCGGCACCGAGGCCGCCTGCTCCAGAGTCCTGAACACAGCAGCATCAGGATGTTATTAAACATTATATAGTATGGAGTATTTATGATGATGTGACAGCATCCATGCAGAAACATAATTGTATATTCAGAGGACCAAAAGGCAAGACGCTTGTTTATACCATGTGTAAGAGCAAATTATATAAGTACGAATCAATGTTTGTTTATTGAGAGGTTCTGCCGGAAAGGTTAAAACATTTTTTACCACAAACACAGCCGTACATGCAGAACACACACTGAGGTCTCGCTGACAAAGCTTAGTGATTGTGTTACCGAATGTCGTGTTTTGAATGCTAATTGAAGAGCTGATTTGTGTAACATTTATACAGCAAAATTAACAAACTAAGTGTTCAATTTCAAACATTCTTATTGAGACATTTTATTCAAAAGACAAGGATATCAGTGTGTCAATTTAGTCCAGCCTAAAGCGTTGGATTAGCCTCCATGATCACAGTTATGTAATGAGATTGCAGATGCTGTTGGAGTAGTAGGAGCACCAACATGTACTCATAATGTATAAATACAGTAGGCTATACCATCTTTGGAATATAGTATCTGCAGCTCTCTTATTCATGTTTATTCATGAAAAAAAATAAAGATGGTATCACAGTAGTAGTACCACACACATGCCCCCACACACACACACTGACCAGCTGGAGGGAACATCCCACAGGAAGCGTTTGTCAGCATCCACACATGTAGCCAGGCCTCTGGCAGGAAGCAGCCCCATCACACGCTTTCCAGCAGGGTCACGACCGGAAAACTCCATACCCAACATGCACTGCTGCAGGGCCAGGTCACCTTTATCATGTAGGATGAAAAGGAGAGGTAAGTTGTCTAATTGCTGGCACTACATGATGCGGTGGGTTACTGTGTGAGATTTCTTGCTGTGTGTCTGATTCACACTCTGTACCTGGAATAGCGTCAGGCGGCAGCTTGCCGGTGGCCAGCATGATGTCTCTGAAGTTGAGCGAGCTGTAGTAGACGTGACACAGCTGCACATTGGGGTTGCTGGGCACAAAGTAGCGGAGCGGGGAGGCAATCCAGCGCAGAGAGGAGAGGTCACCTCGAGTCAGCACATTGACGTAGGCCTGCTCCGTCACTTCTTCACTCAGATCTGTCAAGCAAAAACAAAGACACATGTTTCAATGGAACCATAAGCCAAATGGAATATCAAAGGGAAGTCATTTTGTTTTGCTTGGCATTAGGCTACACAGTGGTATGCGGTACTGAACAGTGCCATTGCAACAATTACATCCTACAGTATAAAGCCTCTCATTTGTACTTTGAAATGTTAATATGAATAAATGAATGAAATCCAGAAAACAGAGCTGATATCCTGCCACTAATACTCCTGAAATAATGAATAGTTGCCATCAAAGTAAGCAGGAATTGCGTGGATCAGTTGTCCGTTGTCACCAATACTGAATTATTTTAAACTTTTTTTCACATCTTTTCCTCAACAGCAACACCAAAAGTGTTCTGCCAATACTGATGTTGTTGTTCGACAGTACATCTGTTATCCAACTAACTGAATATAATGGTTGTAGTTTAACCCTTGTATGGTATTCGGGTCTGTGGGACACGTTTTCATTATTTAGCTAAAGAAAAATGATATGATAAATTATTTTTTCAAACCCACACTCAATGGCCTTGGCTCATTATCTGTAAAGAACCTATCAGAACACATTTTCAATGACCACCCACTGTACCCCCCCTACACATTTACATTACATAAAGAGGGTGTGTGTGTGTGTGTGTGTGTGTGTGTGTGTGTGTGTGTGTGTGTGTGTGTGTGTGTGTGTGTGTGTGTGTGTGTGTGGTTGCAACATTGTTGATAAATTCAAGCACCGACACCTGTCTGCTCTCACATTTCCGCAATATGTCTTGCGGGAACCAATCTTTATTTTTTTCACACTCTATCCAAACTGCACATTTGGGGCAAGACACAATAAATAAAGCTTCGCTAGTTTGGGTCCTTATCACAGCTGATCAAGATGGCAAGAGGGTCTTGCAAATGGTTCTGGAAGAGAGAGAACCATTTGATGATGATGTAGAGGAAGAGGTTTCAGAATGTGAGGATCACATTTCTGAGAATTCTGAGTCTGACAGTGACTTTGAAGAAGAGGATGAGATTGAGCATCAGCTAGTTACAAAAAAAAGACGAGCCACAGGACCAGCCGGTCAGTGGGCAAAAAAACGAGTAGCACTTTAATTCATGAATGTGATCTAACAAATGTAAAAGGGCAAATATTAACCATATATGCAGTTTATATTGCTTGTAATTGAGATGAAGTAAACATCTGTTGAGTATTTGAACATAAAATAGTTTGATAGTGTTGAATTGAAGCCCAAAAAGGCAGCGGGTCCACCAGACCCACGAACACTGGCTGAGTAACAAAAATATGAACACCACACAAGCAGGGCTCGAGCTTAAGGACGTCCCGTCGTCCCGGGGCCGAAAAAAATAGGGTCGGGGAGGATAAAAAATAATCTTGGGACGAATTTGGGACGAGAGTTAAAATAAAAATACCCTGATAACTCTACTACAGTACGAACGGCGATGAAAATGAAACTGACTGCACGTTTTGTGTAGCACACAGTTATTAAACCTCCTTGTCAACATAAACACACACGCACAAAACATTTAGCAAACCGCGAAACACACACACACACACACACACACACACACACACGTGCCCGCAAACTCCTGGCCCGCAAATTATTGGGTCTAGCTATGTACTGAGTGTGTGTATTTCGCGTTGAGTGATGTACAATGACAATGGCATCCCGTGGAGGAATTCTGCAATTGTTTACGTTACATCACGAAAACGCACAGCAGAACCTAACCCTGGAGCGCCGGCCTCTTTATTTACTAACTCCTCTTCATCCCCTATGGGTAATAAGGCTGAGATGAGAACTCTCCATCGTATTTAGTCCTTAGCAATATGCTGCGTCTCTCCCCATGTAGGGATGGGTACCGAGCCCCGGTATTAAACGGGCCCCGGGCCGGAATTATTAAAGACAGTGGTAGCGTTAAGCTCCGACGTTATCTGACTTTTTATCGGTAGTGGAGACATTTAAAACATATATGTCATGTATTATTGCTACATGAACATTATATCGCAGTTTTAGTTTCGCCAACTCCGTTTCTAATATGCAATAAGTCTACAAAATGCGTCTATGATGTATTTTCGATCTTATTTTCGATCTTTCCAATCCAGACGAGAGAGCTCTCTCCCCCGTCTGTGTGCGAGGGGGCGGGGCAGTTTGTAAAGGTCTCCTGACTGTGTTACAGACTGTCATCCTGGTTAGTGGTTACTCTGGGTTCTGTCTTCTGTCTTCAGGACAGAGTGTTGGATGTTTTTGATAATTGGATAGAACTTGATTGGATTCAATATTAGAGTAACTTTCTCGCTTGTGTGTTTTTTTTAAATATATTTGGCCTTTGTTTATGTGTTTGACTGATTTACTCAATTAAAAAGGTTGATGAATTATCATCTAATGATTTGTATGATGTTTTATTTATGTTAAAGGTCACTTTGAATGATTTTAACTAATGATAATGTAGAAAAACTAATATTTTAAATTCGGGACGGTCCACATTAATTTCGGGACGGCTTAGATTGTATTTCGGGACGGTTCCGGGAGGATGGTGAAAGAAGTTAGCCGAGAGCCCTGCACACAAGAGGCGCTTTCACACCGGAGTACTTTTCCCGTTTAGTTCCGATAGTTCCTGGGATTTTGCTTTCACACCAAAAAGAGAACTTAGTTCATGAGAACTTTCCCCCTCTTTTCAGTTCCTGCTAGAGAGCAGGTACTTTCCTGGGGAGGAAAAAGTTCCAATTTCTGATTGGCTGGGCGAATTGCAAACCACGCCCCGTAAAACTCGGAAAAGTTTTGTGAAGCCACCATTGTATTTGCTGGCATTAGCATTATTAGCATTAGCATTAGCCCTGCGCACCAACGGAGAGAGAATAACTTATGGCAACACAAAAAAAAACATGGGAGCGGTGGAGTGATGAAGCTACTTCTACTGAAGCCAGTCCCCAACTCCGGGGACGTTGTTTGCGGCCTGCCAAAGCAGAAGAAGAAGAAGTGACGTCAGCGGCTTCATTTGCCTAATCCTCCCTCAGGGACTTAGGTGTTGTGCACACGGGAACGTTTGCGTTTATGCACAGTATGCGTTTTCTAAAAAGTCTTCCGTTCACATGCATTCGTTTCATTTGTACATATGTACTACAGCGTTTCCAGCGGTCTCGTTTGAACAGAACGTGTCTGTTCAAACGAGACCGCTGGAAACGCTGTAGTACATATGCCGGGACTGTAAGTGGCGCTGTACTTCCACACGAGACCGCTCGAAAGTGCTGGACACGCTGTAGTACATATGCCGGGACTGTAAGTGGCGCTGTAACTTCCGCCACAAAATACACCAAAAGCAGCGAAGAAGACCCTGGAGCAGCCCGGAGCAATGTTGCCATGGCTACCCTTCTGTTTATGCCCCGCGGTGGATTTAGCCACATGTAGTAGTTCATGTAATTCTCCATGTCCACTTGTTGCTGATGGTTGTGGTAGAGGAGCTGTAGATGTTGCACTAACATATGTAGCATGGTCAGTAGCAGTAGCACTAGCAGTAGCTACTGACAGGAGGAAGTGTGTGTGGCGATTGCTGGTATTCAGCGGGATATAGTCATTTCCTCAGCATGTAAATATATGGATAAATGCAACGGGGAAGTTAACTGAAAGAAACCGAATCTGTGGATATTGCATCGACCGACCAAGAAGCACGTCTCCGTGGAGAGGACGCGCTCAGAAAGAGAGATATTTTCTACAAACACTGGGTGAGATCGCTCCTCTGGGACACGCCGGTCCTGTGTTTCCTTTTTTTGTGTGGATTATAGCCTGAATAGGCCTACAAACATTTCTCTTTTTGCCGCCGACGGGCGCAGGAGCAATGAACAATAATGGCCTGGATTAGGCAGTAAAGACAATGTTGGTGTATCGCAGAGCGGACTGTTTAATTTTGTTTGTGTTGTTTGGCTGGAAAATTGTCAATATAATGGATCAATGCATGAAATCTGACTCTGTTTATTTTGTTTAAGGAGTATATTAGGCGTTAACAATTCTGGTTTGCCTTTTATAATATTATTTCATTCAAGAACCCCTTGTGCGTTTAATTAACACAGCTATTTTTGATAGTTGATCGTTACAGATGGCTACTGGCCATGCTACAGCAGTGAGCAGGAGAGGTGGGGAGAGGCGGGGCTATCGCTATTTTTTCAGGAAATATTCGTATCCAGGTGATTACACGGACTCGGTTGACCCCCCAGAGAGTTTCGTTTGCAAATCTATCCACCTTGGGACCCGTTATCATTTGTGGGGTCCGTTTGTTACGGCCTCGTGTAAATAATAGGGCTATACGCAAGAGAAACTATGCAGATACAAGCCGTTTTGTCCTCGTGTAAACGGCACCTTATTCCGGTGTGAACGCGATCTGCTCTTTAGTTCCATGGGGGAACTAAGTGCTGGGAACTAAGTGCTGGGAACTAAGTGCTGGGAACTAAGTGCGGCAAAGTACTTGGTGTGAAAGCGGCTAAGGGTTAAAACAGTGGCAGAACCATATCAATCTAACTAGAATATATGAATATGAGATTTGATATTAGTTACCTTGAGTGATGAGCTGGTGCCTAAAAACGCCCCACTGTCCGTCTCTGAACACGTTCATCACCAGGTCCCCCCCCAGCACCGACTGCATCGACTCCTGACCCGGCTGGAGGCTCGGTGCTGCTGAAGACTCATTCAGATTGGACACAAATGCAGAGCTGGAATGAAAAAGAGACCACAATACAGAAAATTATTACATTTACCCAATATGTATGTTATGTATGTACTGTAATGTTAGTAATTTTATAATACACAAGGGACACTAGTAATCCAATTTAAACATGCGTCCCCCAGAATCTGTGTGCAGTGCCACTAACTGACTAAACAGCTAATTCAGTCAGTCAATTACTAAATTATTAATAGCATGAGATAAGTTGTTTCAATTTGTTATGTTTGTATGACTGAAGTGTCTAAATGTGTGTTTGGCTGTATGTGTGAGGAGGACCCTAATAAAAATAGCCAATACTAATGCTAGTGCTAATGGGGATCATTATAAGCTCATTATAACATATAATAAGTAAAACACATGTGGAATCAATGTTTTATGCACTTACAGTATACAGTCTTAAAGGTAGAATTCTGTTAACATAACAAAAGTTGTAATGGTAGAGATCAGTCTTACCGTATTCGTTCGCCCCCTGGCTCCTGCCGTAGACAGTTGACCATTCCCACAATGCCACAGTGGGCTTGAGAGGCGGTCAGCCACACTGGGGTGTCTGATGGCTCTGCCAGCTTCGCCTGCAACACAAAAACACACAGTTACATGATAAAATAAGAGAAAATGAACATTTATTAATTCCCCGTACGATAATTTGGGTGTCATAGCAACAAAAGCAACAAGAGTAAAACACACAATAGGACTGTTTTCAATGTATTTGTTTTAATACAAACAATGTTCTACTCCTTTTAACCTGACTCGATGAATAAATAATGGTTGAAAGACACTGGAGGACATATACAGAAGCATTTTAAACTCACCTTGAGTGTTTCCACCCACTTGTAGTCAGTGCTGTCCACAGGCAGGAAAAGGGGCTCTTTGACAGAAGTTTGACAGCGACACAGAAAGAGGGCGGAGCCATAGAAAGACTTCCTGACAGTCACCAGGCTGAGAGAGGCCTCAGAGAACACCTTCTGCCATTCAGCCTGTGAGGAGAGGGAGAGAGTATCAGCAGAATATCAACACACACTGACACACTCAATCTGAGGTTAGCATCGCCGCTCACTTAACTAAAACAAAAATGGTTTCTTTGACATAGATTGACATAATTATTGAAAAAATTGCTACAATTTTAGAGGTCGCATCATAGGGATGTTTAAAAAAAAAAAAAATGGAAATGTACTTACTTACTATTTTTCTGTTTAGATCTTACAAAACTCAAGTCTCTCTTCAAGTCATATAAATACAGAGGCCTGGATTTCTGCAGGTCTTTAAAAAATGTCTGGGGTCATTAATCTGTTATAACATTTGAATATCAAAATATACATTTATGATATCCAAGTTTTAAAGTAAGCCTTTTATTTGGTTTGTTTTAAGATATAATCTGCACACTTTTGTATACTTACTCCTGCAGCTAATGTTTGAACATATAACGTTCAACTCACATTTATAGAATGTAGCAATAAGATAACAAATACTACTAGAGCATATTATGAACTTTTAAAGCTCATTTACTTTTTACCACTAGAGGGCACAAACTGTCCTTTTTTATTTAATTTAATATAATTTCAGCATAATCGAATAGAATACCCTATGTTTAACATTTCAGCATGTTACATGAGTTTAAATTCTTCCAAATAAAATACAATTTGAGAATACAAAAGAAAACAGGAAAAAAAAAAAGCAGTAGATATAAAAAGGTAGAAGGGTAATGTTATGAAGAATTGATTTGCACATTGTCTCCACTAACCTGTGTGAGGAGTCCTTGCTGGGCGTTGTTCTGAGCGGTGCTGGAGAGGAAGGCGACCATCTCCCCCAGAGTCTCCCCCTTCAGCAGGGTGTGGAGGAGAACGAACCCCCCCTCTTTGGCTCCAGAAGCCAGATTTGCCACCAGCACTCCAGGGTCCGTCCTCAAGGGGCCCCAGGCGTGGTTACACACCACGAGGTCTGCTACTGCGCCTCCAGGGGCCGGGCCTGTCATGGGGTCCCACTGAGCTGAGGCCACTGCCATCTCCTCCAGAGTGGCCTGGTGGGGGATCATGAGGTCAAGTTGGGGCGCTGTAGCAGTGTAGTCCACACGCAGCATGGGCTGGATGTGGAGCAGCGATAGAACGCGGGAGAAGAGCTGCCCGTCACTGGAGAGAGCCTGAGAGGGGTCGGGAGGTGAAGAGGGTTAATACTAGATCGTTAGAGACTATCATCCTGTGTCCACATGGTGTCTTTTCTGAGAGACAGCATCTTTTTTAAATGGTTTCTTATTAGGAGAGAGTACATAAGTCTTTTTTCTAAGCGCACCAACATTTTTATGTGCCCGGTTTGATCACTTCTATTGGTTCAAAAAAGCCGCGGGTGGAGTCGTAGAAATCGTGGGAGAAGCCTGATTTTATGTCTTTCAGGCCAAAACTATCATAACAAAGACCCAAACATGTTTTATAGGCTTAATTTAACCATGAGATCACATTATTGCAGATCTGCTGTAAGCTAGCTAGCTAACGTAGTTATTTCAGATATACTGACAGAACATTAGAATAATGAACCAGACTAACTCTGCGACAGTGACAGACAACTTTATAGTCCTGAACTGCAACAAGTGCTCCGAATCCATCTGTGTGCGTCACTTTTTACTGTCCCCTGGTTTCTGTTGTGTTTTGAGCTCCTTTCAGTGTTTTGTATTTGCAGCGTTTCGATTATGCAGTGCTTTTGGTAAACGCTACGAATGGAAGTGTTTAGGGCCGTTGAAGTGCCTTTGCACCTGTCGGCCACCCTACTCTCCCCGAGCCCCCTGCCTGCACCTTTCTGACAAAAATACGCTCTGTGGACACAGGGCCTAAATCATCAGTCATCCATTCTGCATCTACATGACTTTTGTTTTCTGTCAGTTTTTAATCTGTTACACAGTCTTACCTCCAGGACTTTGATCTTGCCGGGCATGCAGTTCTCCAGGGTAGTGTCCAGGCAGTGTCTGAGGGGGGGGTTGTCCAGCAGGCCCTGCAGCAGCTCGTCCTGCAGCAGGCACCCCCGCTCCTTCTCCACAGTCTGCTGCAGTTCAGAGTGAAGGTTCCCGTTCAGCTCCAAGCCGCAGAGCAGGGCCAGCAGCCGCAGCAGGCCTGGCTCAGAGGGCTCCGGGCTGGGGAGGGGGCCCTCTGACTCCCCCTGCAGGCCGGGGATGGACAGCTTCACACCATGGGGGGCCAACTTTCGCTGCAGTCTTTGTATTAGACCTGGATGCAAAGAGTGGGGAAAAAGTCTTAGGAAATGATGTGGGAGATGATACAAAAAAAGGAAACAGGTTGAACAAAATAAATAAAACCAACAACTTACAACAGTTTAATAAGGCCACATGTTTTCTATAAGTTTGAGGATTAGGTCTGCTGTTGTGTAATGTAAACTTCAAGTTGTCATAGCAAATACAAATTTCAAGAAAATAGTAAGTAGTAGTCATTTCCACGCAAACTCTTCCCACCTATGCATTCATTTGATCCAACTCTCCAACTTGATCAATTTTTTATAAAACCTAATTGGAGTTTGAGAACAAAAACTTGGTTCCAATCTTTGAGGATTTTGGTTCTGCCTATCAGTTCATAAATATACTTAAGGCACTCGATGGATGACGCTGCACAAAGTGATATATTCCGTTTTTTTTGTTGTGTCAGCACCATGAGAAGATTGGTTGCAAAGGTAGGAGGCCGTGATCCACGGACTGTTCTTTAGCGAAGCAACTGTTGTTCATTGTTACAGTAGGAAGATGAGAAAATTGTAACAACTCAAATGGCACCTATTAAAACTAACTTGTGAATCATTTAATGAATGAAAGGATTACTATTGAATTATCGTAGTTAATAACATTAACTGTATGCAATTAGTTGATATCCTATGAATATAAAAATACATATGCATACCTATTGTGAATTTGAAAATTAATTGTGTAAAGGGTTTTAAAAATATTTGTTCTTTCTGTGAAATAAGCATATGACACACTAAAAGAATAGAAATTAGGAAAATGTATGGTTCCCATTCCTATAAGTTATGTTGTCTTGATTATTGTGAGGTCATCATAACAAAGAAGTGTGAAGCGATGTCAACTTTGCATTGCCTCACATAAGAAATAACAACATTCATAAAGCCTTCCTGACAGGTGTATCTGTACCTTTACAGAGCCTCAGCTGCTCTGCAAGCTTCCCATTGGACGTCAGGCACTCTGTGTCCACGTAGGGAACAAACACAAACTCCTCCAGGGTGGGGGGGCTCTGCTGCTGCTGTCGGCGGGGGGCCACAGTGGCATGCAGACCGCTGATCTGGACTCCACCGGCAACAATGTGGTCAAGGCAACGGTTTACGTGGACATCGGCAGCTACGGGAATGAAAGAGATAATTAGTTTAAGACTTATAGAAGGTTAGCACGTTAGCTCAGTTCCAACAATTTAAATATCTGGACACAAAAGAGAGGAATTTATATTTCTAAATGGCATAGGGATCTTTCTATATACGTTATCTGTTTGTATCTACAGTTTAACCTCTAAACACCACTTTTTTACATTATTTGGACATGATAGAAACCATTTTTTCATTAAAGTGAAACCACACCTTGTTTTCCCTCAGCGTCGTCGCAGACCTTCTCCAGATGCAGAGTTGGATCGATGCACACGGAGCGGATCCTGGTGGGCAGACGCAGACTGCGCCCTGACAGCCCCGCCACCATCATCTGCAGCATGGTGTCCAGAAAGGTCACCCAGTTTCCAGACCACTGCAGCTTCCCACTGTCTCCTGGAGGCAGCCAATCACATGACGGTAGCCAATCAGCAAAAACAATATAGAACACCAGAGTGTTGGGTTGATAAATGAAAAACAGACACACACCTGCATTGTTGGATTCTAAGATTCCTTGGAAGGTCTTTCCGTAGTCGTATCCGCGCAGTCGCAGCTCTTTGTAGATGTCGTGTGCGGTCAGCTTCATTTTGGAGTCACCGGCGATGTAGGCCGCTTGGTTTTTTATCTGACTGTGGAATGAGTCAAGGGCTGCATCCTCCAAGATGCTCACCTTACCTGAAAATCACAAGGGATAAAGAGTAGAAGGAAGGCAGAGGTTACTGGTGAGACTGCATTTTGAAAATAAAAAGGGGGGCAACAAAAGGATAATTTTCAAGGATTATTGCAGTTTATACACAGAAGCAGACCCTGATGCCTAGGTCGACCTCTTGTTATGGATCATCTCTACAAGGGACTGACGTTGATTATCATTGTCATTGGAACTGCTGGTTGAGACTTATATATCGCTGCATAAACCCCCATTACTTTCATTTTGTCCCATTGACGCATCAAATAGTGATCAAAGAGGATAGGAGTCATACCTGACAGAGGCATATGAATACTATGTGGTGAAGTTATTATAATGCAGGCCTAAACAAAGAACCATATAAAGTAAAAAATGTAATTAAAATAAAATTGGATCATAAAACGTATGACGGACATCCTTATGTGAAAGTAGTCCTAAACCTACAGTACATCTATAAGTAAGACAGATATTGTCTAGGATTTTGAGGCATCAAAGACACACATGCACCGATTATTGGACTCAAACCCGGGTCCACTTTATTGGGGAATGAGCCACTGTACATGGGCCGCCATTTCTACCAGGTGAACTATTCAGCCGCTCAGTGACACAACATTTGATGTTGAAAACACGACATAGACCAGAAGTGAAGTTGAATAAAACCCACATTTCTAAATCAAACATTAAAATTGAAAGAAGTCTGGTCTGTCCAGAAACTCTCCTGTGTGTTTGCACTGTCAAACAATGCAGGTTGAAAATCTACGTACCACTGACAGCCAGGTTTCCATTCTCTGAAACCTCAAACTTGTTGGTGGCAGGCATGAGGTGCACCTTCAGCTGGACCGAGCCTGTGATGAACAGAAAGGTGAGGAGAGAAAAGAGACATTACAGGTTCATCATTACATCCTAATCAAAGACCCCCCCTCAATGCTCACACCCCCTGCTGTGCTCTCACCGCTCTTTGGCAGGATGGTGGCCCTGTGGATGGTGATGTCCTCAAAGGTTACAGGGGTGCTCTCCATGACAGCGCCTAGGCTTCTCATCAAGGTACGCCAAGCCAGCACCAGGTAGCCCGTGGCCGGGTAGAGGACACGCCCATCGATGCAGTGTCCAAGCATGTAGTAGTCTGGAGACTCTGGGTTGATGTCTATTTTTGGTCAAAGAAGGGTTTAAAATCATGGTCAAATTAAATTCTAAAGCACCTTTTCTTAATATTAATATGACAAAAGAAAGCAGAACTAGTTTTTGACCCAGATGAGAATTTCTTACCGATATTATAGACAATGGCAGAGTTGGATCCTCCTGAGCCTGAGGAGAAATCCTCGGCCTTGGGAACGTCCCAGGTCTGGGAGTGGTCCCACTGCAGCAGGGGAGAGATCAGAGGGGTTCCCACCGGCACAGGGTACTTCACCGCTGGGCAGAGGCTGTTACTGTCCACGTTGAGGCTGAAGAGGAGCATTAAAAGATTCTAATATTAGCAATCTGAAACTGCTTCCAGGAAAAAAGAGAAGCAAATTGACCTCAAATTGTTGTTTTTTTATGACTCAACAAGATAGTAGTAAGTTAGGTAAGGTTGCAAGATGTATGCCTTTTTTTATTTTAAGCCTTTTCTCAAATGTTTGTGTTTTTGTCTTATAATGTTATCTATGCCAACTAATTGAGAAATAACTGTTAAACTTTGTAATTATATTTATATTTTCATTATATTTTGATTTCCTTGAAATGTTTGTATATTGTGTTGTTCTCATAGTATGTATGATCTACTTATGCCTGTATGCTCAATAAAGTCTTTATATTAAATGATAGATAATTCTCTAATAATACACAAATTGACATTTGTATCTATATTTATATATATTTAACATAATTAAAATGATCCATATCTGTATATATCAACACCTTTGCTATTCCTTGCATGTTTAATTTCATTTATTTATTATTTCTTGCTTTATGATCAAACCATCACCATGTGTTCGACTGAACATTGAAGTGAGGCGTTTACTGACCCGTTCATGTAGATTTTCCCAACGTTTGACAAGAAGAACTCCAGGTTGTTGGCGTGGCCTCTCTTCATCAACGGGAGGATGGAACATGTCTGCTTCAAGCTACGCTTCAGGATCGCCTGTGCAGAAAACGAGCAGGAAACATGTTAAGTGAATCAGAACAGTGGCAGTCTCTGTAGTGAATGAACTCTATAGGACTACAATTCCCATGGCACAAGGGTTCTGTGGTCTTGGTTGCGTACCTGCAGCAGAGCGTGAGGGGCTATCTCCACGGTCACAGCATTCTCCGGCACCAGGCTGAGGCCCTCGTGGAACAGCACGGGGCTCACCAGGTTGTTGACGTGGTAATCAGCCGAGCTGTACAGAGCCAGAGGAGAGTCCCAGTCTGCCTGAGGGATACTGGTGCTCACCCAGCGGGGGGAGCGCAGCCGAGGCTCCTTGATCACCTTCACACAAGAAGACATTTTACATTATTTATCAAAAGAGTGGAGCAGCAATGAGTCCAACTATGTTATTAGATTCCTGAAATGAGGTATGTGGTTAACACAAGCTAAAGGGATTTTCTAGTTTTGTTCCACAACATAAAATACATCAATAAATACCCCACTGGTGAATGTCTGCAGCTTTTACGCGTCTTAAAAAAGGTGTTTACTAACAAGAAACTATTAAACGTCATCACACCAAACGTTAGCTGCCTTTAGCTTAGTGGTGCTGATGTGCTAACTTTTTACTTCTGGCAATTGCTTTAATGCCTCAAAAAGGTTTTTGGTTAATATGTGCAGATTATCCTGCTTAACAAAATGTGTTAAGTATCATAAACGTTTTGACATATATTTTGTTTTCCGCAATATTCCAAAATCCAAAGGAAAAATCCCATTGGCTTTTTGTCGAGGAAGCCCTTGTGTTGCCTACTTCCGGGTTGGCCTAGAGAAATAGGACATCACTTCACTACTACTACTATTATTTTTAACTATATGCATGCTTTTTGACAAATATCTGAATTTAAGAGATAATATTCTGACATGCCAAGAATCCAAAAAAAGAAAGGTTCTAAATTAAAGCAGCCAAATCTTTCATCATGCTGTCTTTGCATGACGATAATAAACTCTTAATGAGAATGTCGAAGCAGAGCTGCACTGTTGCTCACTGTTGGAATGCAGCAGAGCTACGTACCTTCTTCAGAGCAGCCAGCAGGGTGGGGGCGATGGAGGCCATGTAGTAGGAGTGGAAAGCGACACCAGCGCTGCGCACCTCCTTTGCAAACACTCCCTGCTCTTTCAGCTCGGACACAAACGCAGTGATGGCTGCCTGATGGAACACACACAACACAACTGTCAATACACAACATCCTACACCTGGGAAACACTAGATGAGTGAAAATCAATCTTTCATTAGAAAATACAGTTTCTATTGTTCTTCTAAACCTGACATTGTTTTAACAAAGTCCAAAGCATTGTTTTCTGTGTAGTTATGTTATAGCTGTTGACAAATTACTGTATTCTTCTTCTCCTTTTTCAAAAACGGTTTACATTTTCGAAGCAGTGTTTCTAAACTTAGTATTTAGCACCAATAGCATTTTAAACCTAACGTTATTCTTTTGTACATAACGATAAAGGTACCAAGTCTTTGTTAAGCACTGCCTCTAGCGGTCACGAAGAGTTCATTGAAACGTATTCACCTCAATAGGTTTTGTTCAGTATAGTCAGACTGTGCATTATTCAGGTTCTCTGAGTGTTACCAGGTTCTGAAGGAATGTCTGACCTGAGGGCCGGAGATGGTGACGGTGTCCTCAGCATTGTGGCAGGCAGGGACCACTCCCTTAGGACACTGAGCTATACACTCCTGCCACGTCAATCCTGGAACAAAACACATACTAATGTAAAAGATGTGTACAATCTAATAAAAACAAATACTAAGTGTAATTCTTCAGAGCAGCCAGCAGGGTGGGGGGGATGTACCAGTACCAAAAGGGCCATAACACAAGTTGTTAACATAAATCCAGTTTATCTTTGAATGCGCTGTTGCAACATCCGACAGATTTTGAGAGAGCAGGTCACATATTATCAATAAGAATGTAATTTGACTGAAAGATTTTTTAAATCCTGACACCTAGACTATGGCGATTTTCATTTCATGTAAGACATTGTGCATATTTCATGCAAGCATATTTTAAAATATGGAAAACAATCCCAACTGTCTCTCACCGATGGCAGCCATGCCTCCTGGAGGAAGGTTGGCCTCCTTGATGCAGCGGCCCCTCCAGTAGGCAGCCAGCAGGGCCTCAGTGTGGCTGAGGGAGCCGTCAGCGTAGCCACAGGCCAGCTCTCCTACAGAGTGACCCACAATCCCATCAGGCACAAGGCCCAGCTTAGTGAGCAGGTCGATCTGAGCAATCTGGAAAATGCCACAAAACAAATGTGATTATTCCCATAGTTTCTGTATTTTCTGATTCACTACAGCAATACAATTAAACCTGCTTTTGCTCTATATCAGTTCCATTATATTAATATTAAATAACTTATATCTAAATAAAAGTAAAACATATTTACATGAATTTCCTACCCTGTAGTCTATATCAAATGACATATATTTGCAAAAGTTCCCACATGAAACATGGCGTCTTTACTCTACCTGTATGGCAGCCAGGCCAACGAAGGCGTGAACGGTGTCTTCAAAAGTGGCCTCGTCTGCGTCCATGAGCAGGCTGGACACCACCAGGCCGGTCTCCTTCAGAGCCACGTCCGACCTCAGGATGGACTCTCTGAAGTCAGGCAGCTGCATGAGGCTGCGGCCCATCCCGGCCCACTGAGTCCCCATACCTGGGAATACAATATACACACTCACACCTTAGCTCAGCAATATAGCATTTCCTTATAAAGACATTCACAATCAAAAGGCCATTAGACACATGACATTGTTTCTAAAAGGTACATATAATGGTTGATATTTTCTACACAGTTCAAAATAAGTGTGTAATGCTTTGTTTCACACAATTCTCCCAAAGGTTTTTGAGATGTTAGACTCTGTTCATTTGTGATACTGATAGTATATATAAAAAAAAAGCTATTTTGGACCTATGCAAACACTGAATACCTCCAAACTGAAATTGATTTTCACTACACAGAAAAGGCAGATACAATTATACTGAAGTCAAGCGGAACACTACGAATATGGCGACAAAGCCAGTCATGTCCTGGCTCTTCACCTCGAGCAGCCCTCAGCATCACAACACATTTCTCAGAACTATGACCATGTGCATCCTCAAAATCAAGCTTCCTTTTAGATCATACTACTCCATAGCCTTGTTCGTTGTTTATGTTGTTTATTTTCATATTGATATGTCTTACAAGTAATGATCATGTTTCCCCACAAGACAGCATGAGCTTGTTACATCCTCAAGTTTGTCCACAAGACAGATTAAACATATCCAAGTCAGTGCATTCACAACATTCCTGCACGTCGAGCACAGATTCTCCTGTCATTTGTCTTTGATCTCAGGCAGTGCAGTGGGTAGTTGGAATGACTAAAAAGTGTCCTTTATGACGCATACTAAAGATCTGATGTCTTATCCCGCCTGGTTGGACAGGAGACATATCAATAAATGTTGGTTTATGTTTTTTAGGGAGACAGTTCAAATGTAAATTAAAAGTAGCATGGCAGTATTGTTTGCTACTAAAACATTCATTCTGCTTTCAAGAGTAGAACAACTGGAGGGCAGGTGATTTTAATTTCAATGTTATGTTTGGTCATCCGTATATTTATGTTTCTAAACATTTTACTTTCAGATGCTGAGTAAATAGGATTCTGTGCCTTATTTAAAAAAACATTTGTAGAATGAATAAATAAATGAAAGCATTACTGCACCTGAGCAGATGTACCAGATGGGCCTGGGGGCGGCCTGCCCCTGCTGCACCTCGGTGACGTCGCTCTGAGAGCCAATCAGGGTGTAGCCTCTGAAGGGCATGCTGGAAGTAGGAGCTCCTGAAACCTCATTCAGCAGAGACAGGAAGTTGTCATCAGCAGCGTGTTCCTTCCCTTTTTGTAGCAGCACCTTCACTGCCTCCTCTGTGCGGCCACAGGCCTGAAGCACCCTGGGTAGTGTCCTGGGCGGTGCGGCCGTGTCAGTTGATTTCTCCGCTGGACGGAGAATCACGTGAACATTTGAACCTCCGAATCCAAACGAGTTGATGCCTACGATGCCGCCTCGGATGGGAATGGGCCGGTCGACCACCTGAATCCGACCGTCGCTGAGCGCTGGGATGTCCGCGTTCGCACTGTTGTAGTGCAGGTTGGGGGCCCAGACTCCTCGCTCTAGAGAAAGCACCACCTGTGTGGCAGAGGAACAAATATAACAATTAAGAAAAGCAGACGTGATACAGAGCAGCATTTCAGTGTTGCTGAGATAGCTCATTATCAATAAATTGACTGGTATCATTTTTCATATTTGTATTATATTGTGATCAAACTATTCCTGTTTTGATTTTGTAACTTTTTCTTAATTTGTCATTTTAAGCACTTTGGGCTGCTTCCTTTTATGGAAGGTGCTATCAAAATAAGGTTATCTTTTGTATTTTTCTGTTTAATTGATATCTGCCTTTCTTCCTCTTTAAATGTGGCACATGTACCCTGCAGTTAGGAGGATGAAATGACATACTGTAAGGGATGACATATTTGTTGGATGACCCGGAATTTAGCATTGCAAGGCATCTCTCGATAAAAAAAAACAATTGGATGCATTGGGTTTTTAAATATGGCAGAAATAAGATCTGTTGAAAACGCTTGTTTATAATACTTAATTGCATTTCTAAGAGTGCTTTTCCAAATGCTCAAAGCACTTTACATTAGATATTACACATATCAGACATGTAACAGTGAATACAAAAACATGATGACATTGGGTACTCTCAGTTAGTCACTTGTTTACGACTTGTAAAAGCTTCAGAAGTGGGGTATACACTGATTAATTTTATGTCATAATACAAAACGTGAACATCTTGTCAGCTTGTGTTACCATAGATCTTATTTTAGGCATCTTACGAAAAACCCATTAAGGAAGAAAATGACTTTGAGACAAGCGAACCATATAGCTGAAGTGCCGACTCATTTCTGGGTTTAGGACAAATTCCTGCACCACTCTATAGTAATTTAAGTTGGCTGCAGAATTATTTGCCTAATAAATTAAAATAGCAGGTTTCTCGTCCCACCTTCCATTGAAAACATTAAGAATAGGTAAAAAAAACGTTCACCCAAAACACATGAATCAAAAATAAATCCTCTGAGCACTCCTTAACTCTCACCTTAGCAAGAGCAGACAGACCAGAGGCCGGTTCTGGATGGCCCATGTTGGACTTTGTGGAGCCGATTAGCAGGGGCTCTGACCTCGAGTCACAGAACACACTGACGATGCCGTTCACTTCCTGTGGGTCCCCAACCTGCAGAAGGAGAGCGGAGATTACATGTTGTGTCGAGTTGACTTTTGCTTTCTCTTTTCAACTATCCGTCTGGTGAGGCATGACGAGCACTGATCACAGGCGATGTGTGTGATTGGTGTGCACTGACCTTGGTCCCTGTGCCGTGGGCCTCCACATATTCCACCTGATCAGGAGTTATATTAGCTGCCTGGTAGAGAGAGCGAACCAGCCTCTGCTGCATCTCACCTGAAGGGAAGGTCACACCTGAGGGACAAAGAGGACAAGTATTATAACTATACACATCACATTATAACAGCTTGGTGACTGTCAGGCGGTTAGCGTGCACCCTCACCCTGCTCCTTGTATCCATCTGTGTTGTTGCCAGCGTTCAGCACTGTGGCGTACACTCTTTTAGCCATCGAGCGCTTCGTCAGCAGCACAGCCACTGCTGCCTCAGAACGGCAGTATCCGTTTCCTGTCCAACAGATGAAACAATAGAAATGATGTATTGGTATACAAATACATGGTGAATAGAAGAAAGTAAACATGAAGAGCTGAGACTCTGCCTCTTTATCTCACCTGATGCGTCAAAGGACTTGCAGGTCCCCTCAGGACTGAGCATGCCCAGCTTCATGAACTGCACCGAGGTGTTGGGCTTGAGCAGCAGGTTGACCCCCCCCACCAGAGCGGCGTCACAGTGGCCCTGGCGGATCCCGTGGAAGGCGTTCTCCAGAGCCAGCAGGCTGGAGGAGCAGGCCGTGTCGATGGCAGTGCTGGGGCCTGCAGGGGGGAGAGGAGGGGGTTACAGCTGTAGCATGTCAACTGTATCACTGGTGGTCCATAGAAATACTCTGAACTGAAAGATATCAGGCCACTTGGTGGCAGCATTGGATCCAGATGTGCATTTATGTAGCAGCAGGGCAGGTCTACACCTTAAAACAGCAAATTAAAAAGTACTGACACTAAGAGAAGATATAGAACAGTCCAAACGTTAATATATTCAAGAGTTAATGATACTAGTTGATCACCCTTACTGTACTTAAATACAAAAACAACACTATTAATAAGTACATTCCAAGAGTCAAGAAATGTACTTTCCATGTGAATGATGCAACTTAAGTGTAAAGTCTAGGATGAGGAGGCCACATTAAAAAATGAATGCACAGCATGGAAGCAAACCAGGAACAGACAACTTGTTTTGGCATACAGGCTCAATTCCAATTCCGGCCCAGCACTTTCTCCCTCCCAGCTTCCACTCTGTCTGCGCGCTCGTGTGCAGGGTCCACCACATTAAGTGCCGTTCCAAACCAACAAATGGGAAGTGGGAGTTATTAAACCCTCCAACAGGAAGTTATTCAACTGTCCAACAGGAAGTCTGTGGCCGTTTCTCAAAGTCGAGGAGGCTTGCTTAGTAGCACATATATGCTGGGCATTTAAACAGTGATTCGACGCCACTCGATGACGTAGTATGCTTGAAATAGTGGCTCTGGAGCAGCTTTACTCGACATTGAGAAACGGCCAGTATCTGTCCTGACCAACAGCTGCCCTAACATGTGCAACGCTGTTTGTGTCCCTCGTGCAACACACTGTGTAGAAATTGTTCCGTGCAAACATTAACATGTCTACCTTATTGTTGGGAAAATACTGAATGTTCTCTTGTTGGGGGCGGGAGTGGTTCAGTCTGTAGGGGATTGGACTTTGGACCGAAGGGTTGCCGGTTCACGTCCCCGATCGGACCAAAAAATACGGAGTGTGGACTGGTACTGGAGAGGGGCCAGTTCACCTCCTGGGCCACTGCCGAAGTGCCTTGAGCAAGGCACCTAACCCCCAACTGCTCACTGGCGCCGGCTAGACTGGCTACCTCTGCTCTGACCTCTCAACTGCATGTGCATGTTTGCATATAACTATGTGTGTATTTGTATGTATGTGCATGTTCTAAAAAGTGTGTACTATATGACCTGTATAAAAACGCATGTGTGTGTACGACAGAGTGGAAACTGAATTTCCCCCTCGGGGGATTAATAAAGGTCCATCTTCTTCTTCTAATATCAGAGTAGCACATGATAACAAAGGCCCTACGTAGCTGTGTACGTAACCGGATGTATGATTACCTAGAAGAGCGTCAGGACACACTGTTTTAGGCATATGATAGCTATGTGACAACGATTAACATGATGATTCAGCCTCTATGGAGATAGACATATGACTTTCATGTTTGTTGCTTACGTAGGCCTTAGCTAATCTGAACTAAACCTTGAATACTGCTTTGAACCGGTATTCTGCATCTTGTGACTGTAACACTCTCTTGTATAGAAGCATGTCAAGGACACTATTCGGGGAACTATTTGTCCCATGCAAGCCTTGCGTGTGATGACTACTTTCCATTCTTGCAAGGATAATAAATACATGTAACCTGATATTGAAGATCAAGCCGGTGACGAGTGATATTTTTCTAACACTTATTGAAAAAACCGGTTTAGACATTTTATATTGTCATACAGTTGTAAACAACTTGAAGGTTACATTGTATTTAAAACATTTTAAATTAGGATCTTATAAACTTGTGTCTATTCTACAAAACAGTAAATGTATGCATGATATACTAATACTGGTTACAAAAAGTGACGTTGTTTCTGTTTCTGCCTGAGAGAGGGAAGATCGTCCAAAAGCTTGCCGCTGTATTTACAACCTCCAACTTAAGGAAGGAGCCTCTTTCAGCCTAGAGTGTGAATACAGACATAACTCACTCTGTCATGAAATCTAAGAGTGTAGGAGTCGAATTGGAAACGGGCCAGTTTGGGTTTTGGCACAAAATTCCCTATAGAGAATAGGACACCATTAGAGTTTGGTGAACAAATGATAACAAATTCCTGATTAGAAGAGTAAAGTATTACAATTCTCTGTCACATTCCCAGTTGAGTCTGTCGGTGTGTGTTGCTGTGTGTGCGTACCGCTGAAGTCGAAGAAGTAGGACAGTCTGTTGGCCAGCATGGCGCGCTGGCAGCCGGTCATGCTGTAGCCCAGCAGCTCCTCTGGATCCCTGCTGAACGCCTCTCCAGCCTCCGAGCCGCTCACCCCGATGTAGACCCCCGTCTTACTGCCGCGCAGAGCAGCTGGGTTCAGTCCTGCGTCACAACATGGCATTGTCTTTAGATCATACACTCTATTTCATCACATAGCCTTTTCTTAGATAATCTCTTAATAACTTAAGCTCTGTTTGAAATGAAATCACAGAGGAAATACAAAAGTCACACTTCATCAAGCAAACGATTACTGTATTGCTTTCCAACCATTTCTTCCCCCTTTCACTAGAATGACAGTCGTTTTTAATTTTCAGTGCTTGTCCTTAAACGTTCTGTTTTCCTGACCTCCATCTACGATAGACTCGTAGGCGATCTCCAGCATGAGGCGGAGCTGGGGGTCCATGGTGTTGGCCTGTTTGGGGTGCACTCCGAAAAAGGCTGCGTCAAAGTGGCTGATGTCCTTCAGTTTACCGTTCCTCTTTGGAAGACCGTACAGACCTAGGAAAGACAAAAAGAACACAAAGTTAATATGAAACAGAATTCCTTGGGTGGTGGGTAATGTAGCCTAGACAGTCGGTATCAGAACAAATGTTCTCGGGGGTGTGGGACCAAGCGGCAAACTCTGGGGCAGAGTTTGCCCATAAGGAAGTGCCACAAACTTATGGGCTCAGAACAGTCTCATAATACACACATGCACACAGAAGGATTCACACTTGTATTTCATGATCCACAAAAGGAGTCACACTTGTATTTCCGGATCCACACTTGTGTTTTTCAATGCACACACAAATGTGTTCCGTTTCATATTCATGTAAATAAAATCCAAATACAGAAAAAAGTTTTACATATGTATTTTTGATCCTCACATATTTGTTTTCCGTTTAAATCCCCTGCACCTACAAACACAACCCGCTTTCTGTGCATGGATCGCTGTGCATTCGGGTGTGGGTTTTTTGAGACTCCCCTGACGGTCACCCGATTCGTACTTGTAATTTTTTCTATCTATAGCCAATCAGATGTCTCCTCAATTCTAAGCCAATCACATGAGCACGCCCCCACGAGGGTAGATTTCTTGCGTTCATGACGTAGCGCTGGAGCTGACAGGTCCATGGAGCCTGCCTGCAGGCGCTAATCTCAGGACACCTCCACTCTGAGTACATTGCCACTTTCCGAACAGGAAATGCACGCAAATACAAGCCTTTATATTATTAAGGTACAGCGCCACTTTGAACCATTAATGAATTCTTGTGTACACAAAAACAGCAGGCAAAACCGTTTTAAATGTGTGTTTCCTGTATGTCGAATACAGCTGCTTTATTTATGTCTGTATGAAGTTGTGAGTGTGGAGGGAGCAGCTACAGGTTAGCTTAGCCTAATCGATCAGTGCACTACGAAGCCAGTGCTAGACAGTGAACTGTCAACGGGGGGGAGCCCCGCCGGTCATTATCGGCCGATATTCACTCTTAATAGTTTGATCGGTGCTCTCTATAAAGGCCGATCAGGAGAGCTGGATCTGATCGATATGAACATAAACTCGAGTGAAGTTTTAGCGAGCTGCATGAGAAACTGACGGGCTGTCAGGAGAGAGGGAGGGAGAGAGGAAAAGAGGGGATCCGTTACTCCCGTGTTATTAGCCATATCTGGTCATAGTCCGGTAACACACAATTACACAATTCTTATTCTTCTTCTTATTATTATTGAAACATGACCGGTAAGTTTCAAATTTGTCCGGTAAAATAAATTCTGTCCACCCTGCTCCGGACAGCGCAAAATGCGTATATGAAGTGTCATGAACGCAATAAATCTACCCTCGTGGGGACGCGCTCATGTGATTGGCTTAGAATTGAGGAGACATCTGATTGGCTATAGATAGAAAAAATTACAAGTACGAATCGGGTGACCGTCAGGGGAGTCTCAAAAAACCCACACCCGAATGCACAGCGATCCATGCACAGAAAGCGGTTTGTGTTTGTAGGTGCAGGGGATTTAAACGGAAAACAAATATGTGAGGATCAAAAATACATATGTAAAACTTTTTTCTGTATTTGGATTTTATTTACATGAATATGAAACGGAACACATTTGTGTGTGCATTGAAAAACACAAGTGTGGATCCGGAAATACAAGTGTGACTCCTTTTGCGGATCATGAAATACAAGTGTGAATCCTTCTGTGTGCATGTGTGTATTATGAGACTGTTCTGAGTCCATACAAACTGCAGTTCATCTATTGGCCGGTAGAAGCAGGCTGTAGAAGGAGGAACTTCCATAGACCCCCATGTTAAAATGCCCAACTTTACAGCAGAAATAAACATCTTTCTACCCCTGGATGCAATACAAATTATTCTGGATATAGTTAGATTCCACTTTCATGACAATGGATTGGGGAGTGAATTTTTTTATAACACACCCCTTTTAGTTATATTAGGTCTTAAAGTTTTTGCATAAATTAGGGCGTGGTCACCTTGAGTGACAGGTCTCTGCGGTGACTGCTGCTTCTAGCTTTCTGTTCCTCTGCTAGCTCCGTTAGCTCTGTTAGCTCTAGGATGCTACAGGGGCTCAGCTTTGAGGCTGATCCGGGGAACACAACTTGAACTCGGACGTGTTTGTTGTGTTGGTGCTTGGTGGAGTATTCTTCATTTAAATAATCGGACTCATCTTATGCCGCCTCAGCTCAGATCAGGCTGGAGCAGGCGGGAGTTAGGCTCTGACGTCACTGTCGAGACGGCAGCGGCCGACTCCGCCTACTAAGGGCTTCTCAGCAACTCTGCAGAAACCTATGGGTGACGTCACGGACACTACGTCCATTTATATATACAGTCTATGTGTGGGACCCACAGTAATGCTGGGCTTATTAATGGACATGGAAACAGTATTATTTTGTAAAAACATTTGTATTTTGTTGTTATTATCTGATATATGTTCACGCGCAATAGCAACTATTTAGTAGGTAGCAGAAGCTGCAAATGCATCATTAGTAGACCTAGCCGACATTATGCAGCTACGTTGCAGTGATTCGCTTATGTTTCTGTATTTTCACGTGGGAAAAGCTGGTAGAAAGGGGTATAAAAGTAGTGACACAGGTGTATAAAGAACATGTAAGTGGTAGTTCAGATATTAGATGGTTATCTCATTGTTATGTTGTTTTACCGGTTAAATGAGGAGTGTATCGTGTGAAACAGTATGTCACCTGTTTGCTAATATGGACTAATGCCAGTAGTGTCACCGCCTTTAGCCAAATAATAACTAAACAGGTTATTTGCAAGCAGAATGTTTGATGGTTTGTTTCATCAAAGTTTAGGAATTGACTTGAATGTTATTCAGATGCATCATCCATTAGACCAAGTAAAGTGCTTGTGTGTCTGTATTTTCAGAACAAAGTACAGCTATCTTCCTAAACGTGCTGCAAAATCTCACTCTCTATCTTACGTATGCATGGGAATATCTTCAGCCGCACTAGCCTCATATGAATAAACATCATAACATTTAGGATGCTCTATTAGCTGCCTATAATCTCTAAATGTGGAGGGCTAACTGCTGGATTGCACATAGCTTATTGTAGTGGCGGTCTTTTTAACTTGGATAATAGCTACTGGTTAATGCAGTGAACATGTCATCTTCAAAAAAGAATGTTCAGCAGAGTGAAGGATCACAATGCTAACCGTATCGTAATAGTAGTTTCCAACACAGCAGTAAAATAGTCCATATTCAGGTTTCTTTGAGCCACCTTCACTGTGGCACTGGGCTTGCTAGAAGCTACTATGTGTCTTCTTGTTTATAAGACTACTTTTGGCTTTGGCTGCTAACCAGTTTTCCTGTGCACATACTGTAACCGGCTTGCAGCATTTCTCATATAGAAGTGATTTACCATTTTATTTGTGTTCTGTCTCTTTGCAAGGACCCCTTCAGGCCATTGACCTGTGCTGGGTTTCACTATTGTCCCTACTCTCCCAAGATGCCTTGTGTGTGGTCTCAGCTGACCCAGTGCAGCTCTTTCAGCGCATGAATGTGTGCTTAAGATGGTTGCCAGGATCTAAGGGATGGGTCTTTTATTCACAGAGAGGAAACAACTGAAGGGTAGTGAGGGAGGACTGGAAAGAGTGGAATGTGGGCAAGGGTGTAAAATAGAAAAGTAAGAGAGAGAAAACCAGCTGCTCAATTCTCAGCACTTTGTCTTTGTCTTGCTAAACATGTTAATCAAGATGGGTGACCAACTAGCACTCACTGAGAGCTAAACTCAGCAAATGGCTCAGCCTCATCTGAAAACACACAGCCCCCTCATTCATTTGTATAATGTACCAACGTAAAGGGCTCTGGGAAAAAAACAAAGGGTTGTTTGGCAAAAGTTGGACCTAATTCAACTTCTGCTGCCAAACAAAATAGCGTCATCTGCTATACGCTGCATTATCAAACATATGCAAACTCCTAGTAGATCTGCTTTAACACTTACAATTAACCTACATTTATAACCATCGGATTTAAAATGACAAAAGAAAACTGATTAGAGGAACTTCTAATTACTGTCTGGTTTGGTTGCAAAATGGCTCACTGATGATCAAATGTTGGCGTTTGTTTTGAATAATTTCACCTTTTTTTGCACAGAAACTCTGTCTGTTAAGACTTGTATCTATTCAATAGTTCAACATGTATTGTTTTTTATTTTCCTTTCATTTCAGAGCCTGGCCAAACTTGTCTCTAGAGCAGCTCTGTAACTGCCAACAGATAAACAGGTCAAGTTTAAATCTACACACAGACGGCATAAATCAATCAATCAATCAATCAACAACTTTATTAATCCCGCAAGGGATTAGCAGCTGATGTTTACAACTTCAGCTGCTGAGATAATAGCTGCTCTGGTGACACGGGGGAAATCAGCTATCTTTCAAAGTGAGCAGAAGAGCTTTCTCTTATCAAGGAGATAAGAGGCCATCGTAACTGTCAGAATGATGTTAGTGATTTGAACAATGATCTATGTTGGCAACTTACACTACACAGGTGATGATCCTAAGAAGTGAATGTCATTCTTTCTTTATTATCTAGTTTTACATTATTTCTTCTGCTTATGTTGTTGTTTTAAACTGTACTACATTGTGAATAAAACAGTTTTGGTAGTTGTTTACTTTGGACAGAAACAGGCTAGTTTTCCCCTGCCTTTCTGTTCAAATTCAGTGTTAATAAAAAAAAAAGTACATATTTGTGTTGTCTAAGAAACGTGATGGATGTATTTTAATCATCATAAAACATATGCAAAGATTTGTTTTGAACATTTCGAAACATGCATTGTTTGCATCAAGGTTTGGTGTATGTCATTTTAAACTCACATTTTTGGCCTTTAAAGATATATATCGTAAATTCTCCCCTCATGCAAGACATTACAGGTAAATAGAGTTTATGTTTAAATATGAAAAAGAGTCATTTTGAAATGCTAACTTTTGGTGAATTTAGGAGAAATGAAGAGAAGATCCTGTCGTTCTGTAGCTGCTGTTGGTGTGTGTTGCAGATACATACAGAAAGTCTTTTTTTCCTTTTAACTAACTAATAATAATAACTAATGAATTCATCCAAACGGACATTCTTTCTTTTTTTAGAAATGCAGTTATCACCCAATCAATCAAATAGATCTATCTTTATGAGGTTTTACCTGGTGTCCACCGCCGGTCGTCCTCCGTCACCATGTCCACACCGTTGATGAGGTTTTCCCAGAATTCCTCCAGGTTGTTGGATTCGGGCAAACGGCCCGATATCCCTGCTATGACTATATCATCCATGCTGAATGACTGTGAACAGAGAGAGAGAAAGAGACATGTCAACAATGAGCGGGACTCATTATGTGTGCACTGCGGTCATCAGTGTGAACGCGTCCGTCTGCTGAAGAAGCCTGCGTTACCAGGACAACACAAAGTATGTTGGCTCCTCAACAACACACCAAAGTGATTTATTATGTCGAAGATGTTTTTAAGCTAATACTGAAAAAACATTGAACTGCCCAAAACTAAATCTGCAACGATTTAAAACAAGCATAACAGCTACATATTTCCTAAGCCTACTTCCTGGAATACCCTTCATTTGCATGATAAATATGTTTATAGAAAAGGTCAAATGATTGTATGATGTTGGGCTGCAGAGGCCGACAAACTGTATTCTACAGACCTATTACAATGCTTGTGTGGTACAGATCCAGAACAAAAAACATTTAAAAAATATCTTTCAGCGATAAGAAGAATAATAAGGAAAAAAATGTCAATCTCTCCAATATCTTTGATAATATCGCAATTTCAGTAAAGATAATCACAATTAAATATTGTTTTCAAATCGAGCAGCCCTGATAGTGATCTGCATTAAAATGAAAATTAATTTAAGATCTATTTGAATTTGAATTGACTGATATCGTGTAAATCAGCTGACTGTCTTTCCAGTCAGCTGATTCCGAGCCGGTCCAGTGAGTGCTTGCACAACTGTGTCACATTTAATCAGTGCAACACTCGCAGACATATTGTAAACAAAATACAGTCAGTCGATGGTAGAAAGAGATATACGCAATAGATTTAAAATTCTTTATCACAGAAAAACATGAAATATCAAATTCTAAAAGATCTTCATGGCAGTTACTGAACTGTACGCCTATATTTTCATACTAAGCATGTTATCGGTATTGAACCATATGTAATCGTGTTGGTGTTGACTGGCAGCTTTGGGAATGAGGAGTCTCTCTGAGCATGCATGAGAGAGCACTTACAGACAATGTAGTCTGCGGATACACTGTGTACATGAGTGAGCATAGCCGTGTGTGTGTGTGTGTGTGTGTGTGTGTTCCTTGTTTCTAGGACAGGTCTTTTTGTGTCAGCAGGGCCTGGCCCATCAGCCAATGGGCTTGCAGCTTGGCACAGAGCCACTCTAAATGGAAGCATGTCACCTCCTCGATGTAGAGCAGCCGTCCTGACCTCTTCCCTCACAACATACTGTTCACGTGAGCTTGGATGTTAATAGAAACAGTGGTACACAGCATATAGGAGGCTAAAGTTGAATTCAAGGAGGGGACATTGTGATGTTGGTGAAAAGTCACTGGGGTAGTTCATAGCAGCTGAGGCTACAGTGGAAGCTAGCTCTCTATGTCTGACACTACCACAACATTATCAGTATTTGTAATGGAGAATCACAGAAACTTCACAAAGGAAGATGAAAAGAAATATTGTTTTATCACAGAAATTGAGGTACCACTAAATCCATTCTAATTATTCCATGAACATAGAACTGACAGCGCTAGAATCAATAATGCAGCATCATGCAGTATTTAATATGTTTTCAGCTTACAACTTACATTGCTTCTCAACATGCTGAAAAATAGTTGCAACTATCCTTAATATAAAAAATACCTATTTAATACATTACATATCCCCAATGCTTGTCTTTGGAAGGTGAACACCTCGTTTTTCTAGGTGAACTATAGCTTACTCATTTAAGTGTAGTTATGGTGAACGTGGACTGCATTATGGCTAGGACTCAAAATGAGGATATGGATTGTAATGATAGCGCAAGAGCTGTTACTGGCTTTATTTACAGACTTGCAAATGTACACAATCTATACAGTGATAAGGAAGTGATAAGGATGTTATTGTTGAGGTTACTGAACAAGGCGCGTGTGTGCAGTGCGCTCTGTGCAACAGAGACTGTATAGCTGTTTTTAGTCTGCAACGCATATATCTATGTATATAAATAAATCTATGTATATAAATATGCAGCAATTTAAACACCAAAGCTATATAAAGACTAATATCATTGGTCATATATGCACAGTATACAAATATTATTTTAAAGACAGAGATTGGCTTATATCTTTGACAATGACAGTGCTCAAAACACTGCCATCTTGAATGTTCATATTCAATAATGTGTTGGAGGCATCCTTCTACAATCTGCCTGTCATCTGCCAACTCACCCTCTGCATCACCAATGTCCCCTGTCTCCATCATTTGCGTATGCAGGGTTCAGAGTTCAATTCAATCAAGTTAGAATAGAACACAACTCCTGCTTTTGAGTCGACTTCTTCAGGGCCGGGTTTATCAAAACGGTTATATATTAGACCCTTGCTACCACAGTGCCCACTTCACATGAGGGTCCTGCATTACCCTTTTGGGGTCCATTTGGCAATAATCACCAACTAACTGTACACTTACCCTTTCTAAAACACCAGCCATATGAGAAGTCTGCGCCCTAATCATATATGAGATTTCGCAAGGGAAAATAGAAGAGGACTTTCTCTGTTACGATTGAATCGCCGTTGCATATGTTTAAGGTATAGGCCTACCTTCTGTATCACGTTGTTTTATTATCGCTGATGAATCAACACACACACACACACACACTACCTGATCAACACTCGAAGCCTTACAAGAAAAGGAAGATAAAGAGGTTACTTTCAAACTGCATTTGCACATCCTTTCTTCTATGTAGACTACATTACATTTCATTTGGCTAATGCTTTTCTCCAAAGCAAGTTTAAATAAGTGCTATAAGATACAAACTCAGAAAAGCAAGAAACATGCAGGCACTTTTGCTTCAAATAAGACAACAAGGCCTTAATAGGGCCTCTTATCAAAAAACAAGAGGCCCTATGATGCTTATTTTGGTGTTCCCTTTCCTGTAGTGTGTTATATAGGTTTTAGTGCATGTAAATGGTCTGCAAAGGCTCAAATCCCTGTGTTCCTCTCCCACTCCCCCCCCCCTTCCTGAAACACTTCCATTGGACTACTTTGTTTACTTCTGTAACATAATGAAATCACTATGTTACACTCCCGCTTCTATTGGCTAGTGCTACAAAACATTGTACGTGATCGTCTAAGGGGCGGGGCATCTCTCAGTGGTTGACCTTTCAGAGCAGAGCCGGCCAGCTAACCAATCAGAGCAGACTGGGCTCTGGTTTCAGACAGAGGGTGAAAAGAGGAGCTGCAACACAGGCAGTATGAGACAAATAAAGAGCTTTTTGAACATTAGAGCATGGAGACATGTCACAGTAGAGACACTACATTCTGATATGAACCTGAGAAAGACCATTTTATGTCTTCTTTTATCTCAATTGACCTAGACTTATAAAAGAAAATGGCAGTAGTAAATTGGCCAACGTGCCAAGTAAACAAGTGGGTTTTCAGTCTGCAATGGAAGACTTTTAGCTTTCCTGATCTCAATGGAGAGCTTGTTCCACCTTTTGGAGCCAATATAGCAAACAGCTTCAAATGATTCAAATTGTTTTTTTAGCACAAAACACAATATTTCAAAAACAGAAAAACACCTCTATTAAAATGGAAATATACTCAGCCTACCCCTTGTAGTCAAGAAGTCAGATTTGAATTTCAATACACACAAAACCAACAGTGGTGATGAAGCCCAGGTAGAAGCAGGATGATCACACTATGACAGCCTGTCCTGTAGCTCAGAAGCTAAAAGGATTTGGACTCCAACATATACAGGCCCAGGATTAGACCTAATGTAGCACCTTCAGTTCAATATCAAGCCTCATCTGACCCAGATCACACACTAACACCGTGCACATGACCAAAGGCATAAGAAGACTATCAGCTAGTGACAAGCTGGACTGCTCAACACGCACACTGTTCCCATCAGCCCTCACATCCTGGGTATTACACTGCTGAGCTCACCCAGCAACAAGACCTGACTTGCAACATAGCCCGATGGAAAGAGCCTGAAGGGTAAACACAGTAAAGACAATTGTATTCCATCATTCCTCTGCTGCGTGCACCGATACTTGATGATCCTCTTCTTAAGTCAAGAGGACAAACGTGTTCCTAGATAGAGAGAGAAAAGCTATGCGAACAAAGCCTACTAATCATTGCTCCACCTGACATGAGAAGAATGTGTTTAAACATCTCAATTACAAAACACACACCTGCCATTTGGTACACCTGTTCAACTGCTATGTATTAGAGAGATAAAATCAGCCTATTACGTGACGGCAACTTAATGCCTTAGGAATGAAGACACGGTCAGGACATTCTGCTGAAGTTTAAATCAAGCATCAGAAAGAGGAAGAAGGGTGATTTTGACACAATTGTAGTTTAAAGTATTCACTGAAAAAACGGAACTTTTGACCTTAATCAAATGTATTGTGTAAACACATTTCACATAACTGTATTAGGTTAGTTGAAAGCAATACTATTAAGTTGAGCCTAATATTTTGTATTTAAACTTAATACTATTGCTTGCAACAAACCTAATACAGTTTCGTGAAATCTTTTGACATAATACATTTAAATAAAGTCAACGTTTCAGTATTTCAGTGTTTTTCTCCAGGGTTTACAGAGAATGGTGCACAAAGGAGACAACATCCAATGAGCTGCAGTTCTGTGTGCAAAGAAAGTCTTGTTGATGGTGAAGTCAGTGGAGAATGGCTAGGATGGTTTGAGCTAATCGTATGGCAACAGTATCTCTAATAAGCACATGCTACGACCGAGGCATGCAGGAGAGCATCTCACAACACGTTGGCTCCCAGTTGAGCAATAGCAGCAGAACAACAAGCATGTCAGAAAACAACAAGAAACCAAGTCTGCAAGTAAAACAGGTTCTCCACAATTAGTGAAAAGGAGATTGGTTTGACCAGTTTGGCGGGGTCTTAGTTTCTGCAGCGCCACTTTGGTGTTAACAACATGAAAGCAAGCACGCATCCTGCCTTGTATTAGCATTTTAGGCCGGTATTGGCGGTGTAGTGCTGTGGGGCATTTTTTCTTGCCTCACTTTAGGCCCCTTGGAACTAATAAAGCATCATTTTAGGGCGGTGGTGGCGAAGTCCATAGGGACTTGGCTTGGCAACTGGAAGGTCACCAGTTCAAGTCCCGGAAAGACCAAGTGCTACCGAGGTGTCCCTGAGCAAGGCACCGTTCCCTACACTGCTCCCCGGGCGCCGTACATAATGGCAGCCCACTGCTCCTAACACTAGGATGGGTCAAATGCAGAGAAACCGTTTCGTTACATAGTACCTGTACTACGTAATGACAATAAGAAGTAGTTCTTCTTCTTGTCGTTACATAGTACCTGTACTACGTAATGACAATAAGAAGTAGTTCTTCTTCTTCACATAGTACCTGTACTACGTAATGACAATAAGAAGTTCTTCTTCTTCTTCTTCTTCTTCTTCTTCTTCTTCTTCTTCTTCTTCTTCTTCTTCTTCTTCTTCTTCTTCTTCTTCTTCTTTTCTTTCTTCTTCTTCTTCTTCTTCTTCTTTTCTTCTTCTTCTTCTTCTTCTTCTTCTTCTTCTTCTTCTTCTTCTTCTTCTTCTTCTTCTTCTTCTTCTTCTTCAATTTGAACTCAACAGCACAAATGAATTGTTACTGAGCATTTCCATTCCTTTATAAGTGTACCCATTTTCTAATAGAGTTGGACAGGATTGAGTCCTAAGACCCGGAAATGAGTCAGCATTTTACCACATTTGGTTCCCTCGCTCGAACATTGGAACATATATTTGGTTATATGCTTAAATCGGGTCTGTGGTTAACACAAGCTGAAGAGATAGCGTTATATTCTACGACAGAAAATATGTCAATAAATACTGAACACTGTCTAAAGCTTCTACTGTATGTGTCATAAAAATGGTGGTTGCTAAGAAGTGATAAAATAAGACTACTAAAAAAGACGAACATTAACTATTTAGCGGTGTTGATGCACAGCCAAGCGACTGATGTAGTTTGTTTATAGCCTATCATTAGCTATTAAGTTCTGAAAAATGCACTTTACCAATCATAGGTGGTGTTTATAAGTGGAGATTATCCTGCTGAACAAAACGTGTAAGTATCATAAATATGTGTTTGCCACAGAGCTTATTTTCTGCATTATTCCAAAAACCAATGAATATATCCCATTGCTTTTTATGGAGGGAGCCCTTCAGATGCTGGCGTCAGGGTTTGCGTACAAAAAGATGTCATCACTGCACCACTCTAAGGATACTTCCAGCAGAATAACTTGCCATGTAATTGAGATGTAATCATCGCTGACTGATTGTTGGACATGACAAGTACTTCCCACTACTCAAATTGACTACCCATTTAACTTACTTCAATCTATTTGGTGACTTTTTGCATGTGGTGGAACAATGACGTGGCATCCCAGATGTTCAGCCAACAAATCTACAGCAACCACATGATGCTATAATGTCAATATCGACCAAAGTCTCTTGACAAATGTTTCCAGCAAATTGTAAAATCCATGCCACAAAGATCTTAATGCAGTTCCAAATGCAAAGTCAGATATTTTTGTATCAAATGCTCAAAGATGGTGGACTTTCCATCCACTTCTATTCATTACCAGCCCCCAACCACCACTGACACAGCAAATTCCTCAACCACATGTAAAAGTTAGCAAACTACACTGGACCTATTTTCTCTTTTGTCATCATTCATTTGTAGCTTCAATTCAGCCATTTCTCTTCATTTCATGCATTCTGGTGAATATGTAGGGACACATTTATTGTGTAAATGTTTTAATTTGTTTAAAGGAAAACACAATATTCAGGCACCAGGTGACAATTTAAAGTGAAAATAATGTAATGCAGTAAGGCTCTCAAGCATTCTGTATTGCTTTCAAATATTTGTCCAGACAAGATCAACTTCTTATGTATTGTTATCACTGCTTAAATACACAGACACACTGAGTTGCAAGGCAATATTTAGTCTTCCCCGTTATTATGTGTGCTTTGTTAGGACGAGCAACATCTTAAAATGTGGGTATGACACCTATTAAAACCATTTTCAAACAATATTATAACTAGTGAAATTCAGCAGTTGGCCATGTAGCCTACTCTCCATACCAAATGATACGCCCTTTTCAATACAAGGGTCTTTTTTTGTTCATCCAGCAACAATGCTCTACAGTAACACAACAAAAAGCCAAAGAAATTAGCTGCCAATTTACAATTTGGGTGTTACAAATAAATCACACAGGCACTTGAGCTAGTACAGCTAAGGTATAGGATGGCTGCTGGCCTCAGTGACCTGCAAGTCCTCACGCAGGGCAAAGGAAGTGAAGCACCAGTGCAGCATCGACAGCAACATCATCAGTATTACAATAAATAACGATACAATTAAAAACTATAGAAATGACCAACTCTGAATCCATCTCTTTTTTTTGTGTTTAAAGAAATTGTTTCTATCCCATAAAAAATGCATGCTATTGAGATTTGAGAATAAGCAGCATTCAAATAGCTGTAGGATAATGTGGGGTTGAATGATGCACCGACATAAAGATGAAAGACTATTTCCTAAAGTGTCGAGTCACGATTATTTGCTTTTTGATATAGCCCTGTAAAAAACCGGCGTTTCGAAAAGCAAAGGCACAGTAAGCCGGCAGCCTTTGTTTGGTGTAAGACACTATTGTTCCGTGTCGAAACAAGAAATAAAGTCACGCAATAGCATCCGAAAACACACAGCTAATAGCGGTTAGCAACGTTAGCTTACCCGTGTGTCCAGGAGGTGCTCCTCTGACTGTAACCGTAGGGGGGAATGTCTCTGTCCTTTCACTCTGTGTAAGGTGTCCGTAAGCCTCTGTGCTCCTTTCACGCTTTTTCTCAGATGAATTTAAATGTGTCACATTCTGCCTGGCCACGCCACATGGGCTGACAGCTTGGTCTGGCCGCACAGTCCAATGAAAAAAGAGGCAGGGCTCGCGGATCCAGTCAGTAGCGGAGCATCTCGCTGAACGCCCCTGTAGTCACAGAGAGCACCAAAAAAAAAAAGGAGTCGGGGTTACTAAAGTTCATTCTCTAGCCGACACCATCCTCGCTCCGCCCCGCTACATCACACTACAACATGACAGGAAATGTGCCTTAATAATCCAATAACGTATCAAATATTCTTACGGTTACACTAGATGCATTATTTTGTATCGTATTGGCGAGCTATATGTATTATTATCGGCCAGTTGCAACAACCTTGCATGGATGATGGGGGGATGTTGGGTTGGGTGCAACAAATGCTGTTAACCAACATACCACACTGTATTTACATTTGATTAACTGACGTAGCCTAGTTGTATTAACATGTTTAAACCCGTGCAAAGATTAAAACGTAAAGGGGCATTCATTGCAGATTAAAAGAAGACAGTGTGTCACGTGAAACATGTATGTCCTGCGCGAGACTTTCGAAATACTGTGCAGGACTCAGAGAAAAAAACCGCATACGTTTTAATCAGAACTAAAGGTTGTTAACCTTTATCAAGTTCATATTTAATTTAACATTTCATAATACTGCATTGAATTTAAATGTACAGACCTGCGTCGTCACAAGTGCACACGTCAGAGTTTCCTGGATTGACAGGTGAGTAACCAATCACTGAGAACGACTGTGAGGTTTCATCCAATCACAATACAGGAGGGAGGGCTTTTTCGAGATAGGGTGATTAAAAGGCGGGACCTGAGTGATTACGTAGCCAGAAACGCTCGTCTGACTTCTTGGGGTAACTGCAGTTCATCATTTAAAAAAGCATGATGTCCTGAGAAAGTCTTTCTCCTACTGACCCACCGTGGTGGCACTAGCAGAGATAAGCTTTACAACGAAGAGCCAGGGATCAATAGTGGAACAGACAGATGTGTTCTTTGGCTAAAAATAAGAAGCAGGGGTTATCCATCCACCCTTCTTCCACATTCAATTCTGATGTAATGCTATACATTTTCCATAGTATTATATTCTAATTGTACTTTTTGGTATTTATATTTATTTAAAAAATGTCCTTTGTTTTTTAAATAATACAATAGCAGTTTTTAAAATACTTATAACATTAATAGTAATTATACTATTATACTTTCACTTATAATAGTTATATATTTGATTTTTAAAATTATATTCTTCAAACAAATTTTTTTTTGTGTGTGTAGGTTGGCAATAAACCTGATTCTGATCATTTTTATAGGCAAGCAACCAAATAAATGCACAATTTGAGTTTTGTAGAAATAGTTGCTTTATATGTATTTCAAAGCCAATATTATTTCACGCTTTATTCAAAGTGACTTAAAAATACTTTTACAGATACAAAACACACTGCTTGCCATGCCTACAGGGGCAATTTTGGGTTTAGAATCCTGCCCAAGGACACTTTGTGATGTTGTCTTCCATTCGGGGATGGACCCATCGACCCTTGGAGTGGCAGAAAACTATTACCCCCCTATTATTTCTGCATGAGGAGAGTCACTGTAAATAGGAGTTGTATTTCTGAGAAATCACATAGGTTTATCAAGTAAGAAAAGGGCATTTTACTCAAAAGACCCAACATAAAATAATGCATTCTGGGAAAAAGGTTGGATTTTCCAACCCTTTCCTGATCAGTGTGGGATCACTCTACTTCCTGAGCCACAGGAGACTACTGACAAAACGTTATTTAGAAAATAAAATGTTGAGGATAATAGACATACACTTCAAACCTATTATGTTCATTTGAACTGTGGTCCCTTAACTGGTCAGCCATGTGAGCTCTGATGCTGGAAGAAGCCTTAAAAAAAGCTCCTAAATTGTAATCTAAGACATAATCAGGTTTAATTTCTTATCCTTGACAAAGCTCCTCAAGAGCCATAGTATATATAAAAGTACCAGTGGGACTCCCCATGAGAAGTTTACTGACAGATTGTCCCTTTTGTCAACTTTTCACATTGTAGTTTCTGATCTTGCACATCCTCTTGTTTGATGGTGTTTTAGAAGGGATCCTCTTCTGCTGGACCTCAGTAGCGAGCCGACTATGGACGGGAGCCCGGGTACCCTCCGCCGTCATCTGGACCCCACCACCACCATTACCTCCCGCCACTCCAGACTCATCCACCTTCCTCCTGCTCAGCTCAGCCTCACCTTAGATCAAAAGAGAGATGCAATTTTAATCACTCTAACAAATCCCAGTGTAGAATGTTGGGGAGCTATGTCTTTAAGGAATAATATGTATCTGGACAAGTTACATTTGTTGTAATTATGGAACCACAAACGGTGCCAAAAATCTAAAGCTTACATTATTTTCCTTTTTAACAGATTGCAATGAAAGTTGGAGTGAGATTAGGGCAAGGGCTGAAAAGCAGGTCATCAGTTTCCCCTGCAGAGGTGTGGATCCAGGACTGTTTTGAAATACTTTAACATCACTAGATTGTTTCTCACTAGCTGCTGAACCTTTGTGAATAGGATGAACCCATGGTTGTCTATCCCTATGAGTATTTGATGCAGTTGTTATGTTATATGTGAGAGCTTGAATACAAAAAAAGTCTTGAGATTTCTAAACAAGTTACTTTACTATGAAATGCATTTTATTTGTACCATTATTTTCCCTTTGTCATATATCTGTGTTTTTTGATATCTTACCTATTTAAAACCAATTCAATGAATGTTTTAGGACCATTTAGTATATATGGTTGGATTAGTTTAAGGATATTTGGTTAGTGATAGGTGTTTTTTAGCTTGTAAAGTGTTTCTGCATAATAAATGAACTCTCTCCAATAGTAGATATGCTAGAAATATATAGTTTAAAATAAATGATGTTTAGTGTGTGGGACCCTATTCCAAAGCTGGTGTCCTTTTTCACATATTATCATTATGTCTTATCAATGCACTTTTACTGTATTTAAACTGGTTATGAATACAATTCATTTAAGTGATTGCAAATAAGACATATTTGGTATATAGCTTAATTTACATATAGCTTAATTTACATAGCAATTTTAGCCAAGCCATCGAGAGCAATCATGGTAGCAGTGCCTTACCCAAGGATTGGACATTTGGACAGGAAAAAGTGGTGATCGAACCGACAACCCTGGGATCGGTGGATGACCCCACTGTACAGTATGTTTTGGCTCAGAGATGAGGATCTTTATCGGATCTTTTATCATGCAGATAGTTAATATCGGTGATGAACTCTTTCACCCAGTCAGGACACTTATCGTAAGCGTGCTGAAACCGTGTGCCAGATTTGTTTCACAATTATTATATGGTGCCCTGCTGATCACTGCGTCTGAGCCTGATCTGGCAGCAGCTCGTGTTGAGAAACCGTTCCCTGGAGAGCTGACAGACTACAGACACACATTGGGCAACAAGCCTCCCTCTGTGTGGCCTTCACTGACCTTACCACTGCAGCAGCCTTCATACTGGACTGACTGCTTGGGCATTTGGACAAAGCCATATTCTGTGGATGTACTGTAACACATGTCCACTTGTTTGTAGGTTACTGAATGCTGACAAACTTTTCCCTGTAATTCCCTGTTCACAGTCTACATACTGTATTTCATTTTACATTCCGTTTTTTTCATTTTACATTCCGTTTTTTTCATTTTACATTCCGTTTTTTATGCATTCTACTTTTTTTTCATGTATCCAGTTTACCTATGTCTGCATTTGACTTGCACCATTGTGTCCCTTTCACCAGTCTCTTGCACAATTTAATCTCTTTTTTTTCTTGCCTTATTTTAATTTCTTTTTATGTCTTAAGTCTATTGCATGTTGCACTGTTGGAGGAGCCTGGGACTTCAGTTTTGCATTGCCAAAACTACACTGTAGCTATTATGCATATGATAATAAAGCATTAGAATATTGAATCTTCTCACAAGACTACCCTTATGTGAGGACGCTTGTATTTCAGAATGGGTTCTTTAGGATTCTGTACAGCAGACGTTTAGTATATTGGAGCTGTAGTTATTCTGTTGGGTTACCTTCTGATAACATTGATGAACTGAATCCATGGTCCAGTTTCTCCCACAGCTCCTTTAAGGACTGCAGGGAGTCCTCTGAGGACAGCAGAGACCTGGACACACCTGAGAGCTGCATGGAGCCCTGAGACTGGATCACTGTCTTCTCTTTGGTCTTTGAGCTCTAAAGAAGAGGAGAACAGCAGGGTAAGACAGCTAAATGTTTATTGAATTAAGAGAAAAATATTATTTTTTTTTTTTTTCAGTAAATTATAAATATAGAAATGATTATAAAAATAGATTAAACAAATAGAAAACAATTATTTATTCAAACACAAGATGTCGAAAATATATATTTATATATACATAAGAAATTAAAGCAAAAATGAAGACATTGTACTACAATAAGTATATTACAATATATATAGTGGTAATAATATATTAATGCTGAATTGCATATATATACTATGAATATTTTAGAATGACCTTGGATACATTTTTCACCAAATGATATCCATTCAATTTGAGGAGAGTATTGCATATCCAGTGTTTCCCCTAGGATGGAGTCATAGCAGCGGTGCTAAGGCACGTGGGCCCAGCATAATGTGAGCGTGGAGCGCGTGGAATTTTTTAGTGTGTGCGCGTGCGAAGTGCGCCCCGCCAATTTGTTTCTATGTGTCTGCCAGCACAAGAAAGGCTCTTGAGGCCTAGTACCAGGGCCGGGTCTAGCCAATTTGCTGCCCTAGGCCAGATTTTAGGTGAGATTTTATATATAAAGAATAAATGAAAAATCTCTACAAAAGACAAAGACACTACAAAAACAGAAAGTTATTGACATAGGTAATATACGTCAAAATGGCTTCAAATGTATTCACTATTGTATGAACATGTTTTAATTGGGGGGTGGACATCACATCTTCTAGGGGGGTCCGGTGGTATGCCCCCCCGGGAAGATTTTTTTGAACATTTTAAAATAAAATGCTTCAATCTGGTGCACTTTGAGCACACAATTACTAGAGACCTGATCTAGGGGGTACAACTCTAATGGCGCAGTTCCACTACAGCGCGGAGCTCGCTTTAAGCGTGCCGTGTCGTGCCGTGCCCGTTTTTGGTTGCGCTTCCACTAGGCCTAGTTCCGGCCCGGCCCGGCCCGGGGCCACTTTTTCACGTCTTTTCTGGCCCGAGAAAATTGTGGTTCTATCGAGGCCAACAAACAGGGCTGAGTCGGGCTGAGTATGCTAAACTAGAGAGAGGAGCGCTGGCAAGGCGGCTACAACTACAACAAGATGGACATATTTGACCGTGATTTAATTGTAATACACATTTCAAAATGATGCCGAAGTAACAACATACTGATACCGGTTAGTAAAAACCATGAATTAATGCTTTGTCAAGTCTGCAGACAGACGGCAGGCGAAAAACCTTTTAAAATGCTTGTTTTCTAAATGGAGATTGGCTAAGCTAACGCAGTATATGCTCCGACCGTCCACACTCACAACAACGGCCTATACAGACATAAATAAAGCAGCGACTGTATTCACCATGACACAGACAGTCTGTGGTTTGTACTTGTTTAGCTTTTGTCGAGTTTCTGAACAGATATGAGGAGCTGTGAGCTCTGAGTGCTAACAGCTAACGGCTGTGTTGTGTTTCTGGAGTTCTCATTGAAGATGACGTCACGGCTCCGCCTACACTGCGTTACTATAGTAACTACCCCAGTTCCTAAACTGTAATGGAAGCGCAGCATGAAGTGAGTCGGCCCTGTTAAGGCCAAGCCGTACCGAGCCGTACCGAGCGTGGCCGAGGCCGACCGTGTAGTGGAAATGTGCCATAAAACACCCATCTGAAAAAGATCGGTTTACATTTAAAAAATCAAATAAGCATGTGAACATAACCAATAACAAATAAATGTAACTTGTTTTATTTTTGTTGTTTATTTATATCTTATTTTACCTTAACATTTATTTATTTATTCATATTTTTGTATCTCGCCAACTTTAAACGATATTTTTGGTTTACTGTCCTATAGTATACATTGGAATGATTTCAAACCTGTTTTTATTTATCCTAATAATTATAAAGGAGTGCCTTGGAAATATGTGTTTACATAATTTGTAAACACATATTTGTTTGAGACCCACTGAGATAACTTAGACTAAATGAACTATCTAAACCCTCAGAGAGTCCTTTACCTGCCTGAGCCTCTCAGTCTGACAGGAGAGCTCTCCTCCACCCTGGTTGTAGAAACATCTACTTCTTATATCTGTTAGCGCAGCTAGCACCAGATTCTAATAACAACAGCGCCGGTACCGGTGCGCCCTCTCTCTCTCTCTCCCTCGCTCGATCTCTCGCTCCCACGCTCGCACTTTGGCTGTGAGCTGCGGGCGCCTGATAAGCCAACATCCCCCACTTTCATCACTTACAGCGCCCATCGTACAGGGCAAATGAAAAGTGTAACCGGGGTGAAAAGGGTGTTACATTTACTTAATTATGAATGTTGTTACATCAAGGCCGAAAATTAGGATGAGCGCCAACGGTCAAAAATGTTTTTTCCCCTCCCAGAGCTACCAACGCAGCGCCCCCCAGATCTGGCGCCCTAGGCGACCGCCTATGTCGCCAAAAATCGGCCCTGCCTAGTACATACAGTGGCAATGTCTCAAGATTTAGCAAAAATACACCTTTATTGAACATACAGTAACACACATACTACAAATCCACATAACAAACAATCAAAAATGAAAAAGGGTCGCCACTTATTATTATTTTAATTTTTAAATAAATACTATTTGTATATAGGGGAAACACTGATATCAATTAAACCCAATATTCCCTCTGTTGTTACCTCAGGTGTGTCTGTGGGTGTGTGACCCTGGGACCGAGGGTTAGCAGCCCCTTCAGTGGAGGGCCCTCGGTTGGTGGAAGGTGGAAGGTGTTGCTGTCTCAGTGCATACTGCAGCTCCTGAAGGGACACATACATTAGTGGAGCCACAGAGCCCTCTTGAGGTAGCACAGAGAAGTACACATCACTAAGATCATTCTTCCTCTGAGGTGTTTCCCAGAGATAGTGGCTGTCTGCGGCTTTGGGAACGAGTGTAGAAGGCCATGAAACCCAGTTCTGATCACATACTGGTGTGACTCTGGTTCTAAGTGCCTTGCCAGCTTCCCCATCATATGGTTTGCCTCAGACGATGCAGGTTATCACACACAATTTATTCTGCATATAAAAAGGGGTAAGTGTTATTTAATACTATTGTAATAGGCTAATGGATAGGGTAAAAAACGTCTTTGTGAATATAACATTTTCTAATTATTTCAATTTGCTGGCCAAGAATGAGATGATATATATATATTTAGAGATTGATCATGTCTGATTAAGCATAAACCACAATGCTCAAGCTCACAAATTACCATAATGTATCCCATTTGTATAACTTGTACATAAACTGGAATATATAAATGACATGTTGCGGTTTTAGGGGGGTCCAGAATGCTCAAATAAAAACATTACTATTTTAAATATGAATGAAAAATGTACTTCAATTAATGCTTCGAATAAAAGGAAATCTGATATTCTCTGAAATTAAAAGTGAAAAGATATGTTGAGGAGTTAAACTTTCGGAAGTGCACCAGACAAAATATCATGTCTACTGGATGAAAGCATTCTGTTACTTCAAAGGGGAAGTAAGAGTGTCCAAGTCACCTAACCTTACACAAATGATGTCATCAAATAAGTGACAGCAGGGGCAAAGGATATTCTCATGTCTAGCTTGCGATTAGCACTAAAATGAACCCTCTTTCCTAGTTACCGCATCGCTTGGTGAATCTGAGGAGGGACAACATGGTAAGAGATAACTTCCTGACTGCGTAATAAAGAAGTTCCTTTGAAGGAATTGTGAGGAAGGAAACATGTCATTGATTATAGATTTGGAGAGCTGGAGCAGATACCTGTGTGGTGAGCTGGTACTGGAGCTGTTCCAGAGCAGACAGCCGGTCATGATGCTCTCCTTGGTTCTCTGTGAATGAGTCCCACTCCGGCTCCACTGATTCTGCTGGACACACAATATTCTTAGGGCCGTACTGTAGGTGCTGTCTAGTTAAACTTTTTTCTAAAATATATAGACAGTTTTTGATTTGTGTTAATTATAATTTGTTTCCATTTCCACTCCTAGGTTTATGGGATTTGGGAGAACATTTTCCTAAGGTCCAAAGTCCTACATTTCTATGAGATTACATTTCCGTTTACTTTTTTTTGTCTTTTTGGTCCTATAGGTATCCCTGCAGCATAAATATTCTGAGAACCCGCTTTTCAGTTTGAAAGAGTCTTAGTGTTACGATCCGTATTCATTTTCCCTGTTTCAATTTTTCATGTCAAGATCCGTCTTTGTTTCCCTGTGCGATGTCTGTTGTTACTTCCCGTCTCTTCGTCCCTCCAGTTGGATTACTGGTGCCCCTGTGTATCTCTTCCCTCCCCACCTGTGTCTTATTCTTCTCCTTTATGTTATATAAAACATTTTAAAGAAGAACACGAAACATTAAATATGAAAATAGGGCTTAGCCAAACCTACCTGGCCAAGTAACTATGTCCATTTTACTGATAAACACGTCAGTTTGCTATCCTGGCTCCAAAATGTTGGAATGAGCTCCCCATTGAAATCAGGACAGCAGATAGCGTGCACATCTTCCAGCGCAGACTGAAAACTCATCTCTTTCGACTCCACTTCGAGCGATAGAATTACTAACAAAGAACTGCTAACAGAGCACTTATATACTAATAAAGGACTGGCTTATCTGAAGCTAGTTGAGTAGCACTTGAAATGTTTTAGCTCTATGAAACCTGATGTACTTATATGATTCTGTTTTCTTCAAGTTTGTATCTTGTTGGTCGAATGCACTTATTGTAAGTCGCTTTGGATAAAAGCGTCAGCTAAATGCAATGTGATGTAATATATACACAATATATAAGTTATGAACAGACACCCTACCTACTGATATTATTTCCACACTGCCTGCTCTTTAATGCAGTGTGTGTGTGTGTGTGTGTGTGTGTGTGTGTGTGTGTGTGTGTGTGTGTGTGTGTGTGTGTGTGTGTGTGTGTGTGTGTGTGTGTGTGTGTGTGTGTGTGTGTGTGTGTGTGTGTGTGTGTGTGTGTGTGTGTGTGTGTGTTATTGTACCCTGTGGTCCAGCGGTGGTGATCTGGGCCCGGAGGCGGTTCCCCATCTCTATCAGCTGCTGCTTGTCTCTGCTCAGCCGGGCGATACAGGATGCAGCCTGCTTCAGTCTGCTGTGCAGGACAGGACGTTTGTTTTCAACACCGTGCACATCTTCTAAAGGGCCACCAGACATCTGACCTGAGGTCTGCTGCCGCTTCAAACACAGGTTCTCCTCCTGGAGCTGTCGTACCAGCGCAGTCTGGAAGGAAGAGGAGACAAGAGATACAACTTGAAGGAACTGGTTTGCAGCACCCCCCTCACACAATATCTTCTCACATAACTGACTGGTTTGAAAATCAGCTTTTAGGTGTTCTTGGATGCTTTGTCTACCGGGAGTCAAAACTGAACATGGAAAGGTAGCGTTCTATTATTACGCTCCATATATCTGGAACAAACTACCAGAAAACTCAAACTCAAACAACAGAGACTTTTATTTGCCGCTGCTTTTTATTAAATCAAATAACTATTTATATCTAACACTGCACTGTACTGCATTTTCATTCTTGTATTCTCTGTATGTCTTGTTCTATTTTAGCGCGTTTTAATTTGTATTCTCTTGGTATTCTAATGTTTTTTAAATGTTATTTTAGAATGTGTTCTTTTTTTTTGTAAAACACTTTAATTGCTGTATAAATAAACGTACCTTACCTGGCGTTTAACTGACGTTTTATAAGGGAACGTGGGCGTCACATGAAGCGTTAAATGGTGTGTCACATTTCATGTATTCATATCTTACACTGCACTGTAACTTGTATTCTTGTTTTTAAAACACTTTTATCCTATTTGAGCTTTTAATTGTTTTATGATCTTGGCTTTTAAATATTAAAATGTGTTTGAATTTAATTTTGTAATAACAATGTTTTTGTTGCGCTATATGTTTACGCTTATAATGTTTTTGTAAAGCACTTTTAATTGCCTTTCTTTCTGGGCCAATGTTGTTCATGACTGAGAGACAACATGAGCGATTTGTCTGGCATGCTTTTGACATGGTTGATAATTGTCCCAGTCATAGGTTAAGCATGAAACATGTCAGTAGCTTTAACCCCCAGGTCAACTTACACTTGTTGACTGGTTTTGTTACACACCTGTTTCATTAGTTTGGCGAGAGCAGACTCAATATGTGCCACTCTGACCTCCTGCCTGTCCAGAGCTGAGGGGTCGGCACCATTCTCTGAGAGCAGAACACCTGAGGATTACATATAACAGGGAAAAGACAAATGAGCACACATTATATCATATATATTACATTAATACGAACACAATTATGATTGAATACAAAATAGACATAGAGGGAAATATTGTACTTTTTAATCGAGAGAGGAGGGGAGGGCTTGGGCGAGAAATTGTAATTCCATATATATATACCTTGCTTTAGTCCCTGGTTCTGGAGGTGTGTGTTGTCCGGAACTAAAGGAGCCAGATTCTCTTTACCCGTGGCTTCCAGCTGCTCCTCTAAGTGTCTGCATCGAGCCTTCAGGAGAGACACCTGATCCAGCCTGCCTGTGGACATTTTCAAAAGAATACTATAAATGTTTGACCTTAGATTAGTGTAATGCAAGTTAAAAAAAAGAAGAAAAAAGACTGACTTATTTGAAACAAGCAATCTACACCCAAGCTCACTTCACCTCAGCTTCTGTGTTTCCAAGAGGCAGGTTTGAGGAAGACCCGCTTTTCAGCTTAAAAGAGTCTAGAGCTAGATTTCATGGAAAATGAGTGCTATTTAATGAACACATATGTATGGAACCACTGTAACTGAGGTTAGTTGAGTTTTTCTTCTAAAGCGTAAACTTAACACGTTCCGGTGGCACAGTAATCTGATTTGAAATCAGTATACAGAATTAACATCATTGTGAACAAGGTTACAAGTTGACCTGCCTCAGTTAGATATTGTGTCAATGTATCTTTGTCACATAACTTAAGTTTACAATCACTGTAGGAGCCATATGTTAAAATGTATAGTTTGATATATTTGAATATTATAATCCTTTGTTCTTAGTGCTATTATATCATTTATTTGAACCAGCCATGTGGAATTGACGGCATAGACGACCGCAGCTGTTTGTGATTACGAGACGTTATAGCCGACGGCAGCTGCTGGTGATTGTGCGAGAAGGAGAAAGAAGCAAAGAGCAACATAGTTTTTGACCTGAGAAAATATGTGTTTGTATTTGATACCTTTTGTTTAAGTAAAGAGTCAAACAAACTATCCTGAGACGTATCTTGTCCGAGTCAAGCTTATTTGCTACCTGTGAATCGAATTTTGGATTACTGGAACTACAATCACTACTCACCACCTGTTGTCAAGGATTCTATTTTAGTCCGCATGTGAAATAGACTACGTTTCTTATATGCATGATATCAAGTGTGTTGTTAGACCGTTTCAAAAGTGAAATGACATACAAATGTGTGAAAGAAAATGTTTCTCTAATCTACTTGTATCTAATACCACAGGATCCTTACTACTGATTTAAAAAACCCAGGCTTTTCTTTAAATAATGCACTTTTTATTCATAGCTGCAAAAATGGAAGTAAATATTTGTTATACATAAAGCATAAGGTAGCAACATTAACTTTATGTAAACTGTTCACATTGAGTCCTTCGTCAAGAGTTTCTTCTACTGAAGTCGTGTCAGATCGTCATGGTGCTCTCAGATCACAACGGCTATCCTGAAGCATCTTAAGACCACTCCTGCTCAGCAAACACGTCCTCCTCTGATGGTTTCTCGTACTGCCTTGAGAGCCAGGAACACACATCCAACACCAGTTTCAGGACTGATCATCAGGTCACTGAGATGATCTGTAATACATGGCAAAAATCATTGTTGCAGCCAATTGACATGTTTTGTTATTGTTTCGAACACTGGATGGCATAATGGTGCAACAGGGTATTTAAGTGACCTCACCAGTACAGGTGTGAGTGACTGATTTTGACCGTGTTGCATACACATACTGTTTTTGGTTGTAAATAAATGGTATTTGAGGCAATAACTTCGTCGTCAATGAAGAGCACTCAAGTCCAACTAGTTAATCACCGTTTAACAATCCCTCAGTGATATTAAGTGGCAATAGTCACAACATTATAACCGAGGGATTGCTAAACTGTGACTACAGTCACCACTAGTTACCAGGCACGTGCACACATAGACATCAAAGTGGGCTTGAGCCCCTGCCCTTTTTCTTCCTCCAGAAAAAGTGCCCTTTTTCCCCCCTTTTTTAATTTTTTATAAATGAATATATATCTACTGCTGTTTGCGCACAGTTTCCCTTTCCAACAATATATTGATTGAATACAAAATTAAAATATCAGGTCGGGAGACTGAAGTTCTGTAGCTCTCCATCCCTCCCTCCCTCCACGTCTCCTGCACAGCGGTGCGGACAGTCATCGGCAGTCCCTTCAGACAGACAGGTAGCAGCACCTCCCACTTTACTGTGCCATGTTATGCCGGCTTTTCTTGGCTTGTTTGAAGGTGAGTGGTGATGAACAAATTACTAAACTGCCAGTGCCTCGAGTTTACAGCTAATTAGCTAAAAGACAAAAACACATATAGTTAACTAAGGTAGGCTACTAGCTAATGGATAAGTTAGCTCAAGGTTGAGCTAAGACAATTTATCATGGGCATACAGGCTAATGTACTGTAGCCTACTTAAGGGGAGACACTTAAAGTGAATACAGTAACATGTGTATCTAATAACGTCATCACAATCGCCACATTGATATGCAAATTAGGCGTTAACTAGGCTTAATTAAAATGCGCTAATTTGCATGCAGTTACCAAGGCATTGCAGGTGAAAAGGATCAAACTAAAAAACATATCACCTCACAACTTCCCCAGATAGTTACTTACGTCAAGTCAGTATTTTCCCCTGAAATGTTATGTTTAAATGCAGATTAGCTTTAAATGTATAGATGAATTCAGACATTGTAGTAAAACGAACACCATTTATATGTGTTTCTTGGAAGTTTTATTTCCATTAGAGTGAAAGAAAACATGGAAGCAAAATAGACCAAAATAACAAGTGCATGAAAAAACGATCTTTTAGCCTGTAATGTCCTTAAACAGTAACTTCATCATTTTGATTGTTGGCTGCTCATTTCATAACTATTAATTGTACTAGTTTGTTGTCTGCTCTTGTGCGTAGTGAATACTAAAGAAGACTTGTCTCTGTGTTAGCTGATTATTTTGTAGAATTCTGTTGAGTATTAAACAATTGCGTCAGTGTGAGGGTATTAAAATTAATTGGTCAGTAAGTCAGAGATGTGCAACTATATTTAACTTTTTGTTTTAAAACATTTTTTTATAAATGATTATGGGAAGTGCCCTTTTTCTCACTTGAGCACCCGCCCCCCAAAATGTCTGTGCACGTCCCTGCTAGTTACCACAATAGTAGTATCATACTCAGGTACAATTTTGAGGCACTTGTACCTTAACTGAATCATTTTCTATTGTATGCTATGTCCACTGTTCTACCTTTTGAAAACATATATTGTACTTTTTACTTCTCTACATTTATCTGTCAGCCTTAGTGCCTTTGTACTTTTAATCAGGTAAGATTTTGAATGCGGTATTTATACTTTTACTCCAGTATAAATCTCAGTACTTCTTACACCACTGGTTATTTTGTATTATCTATTAAACAATGTGAATGTACACACATGCAGTTTTCACATTGAACACAGGGTAGAGCCTTAACGTAGAGAGTGCATAAGGAAGCACTAACATGGATATACAACAAGCTTTTCTGGTGCAATAACAGGTATAACAATAACTCAAGGAAATCAAGAAGTCATGCTCTCGAATTTAAAAACACACTCTCGGATAGGAAAGAAAACACCACCAATTAACAGTGAAACATTAGAATGGCAAAACTTACATGTTCCAAGTTTGAAGTTGAGTCAGTCGAAATTGATCCATCTTGAGCCTCAGTTTGGAAGTAAATCCTGAATGATTCCGTGGTGGGAAAGGGGTTACCAGTTGTTGTTGGCACAACTCATTCTAAAATACATGTTATCCACTGGGTCTTCACATCCTCACATAACGGGAGTGCATAAAGACTGGTTCTTGCAGCGAACAACAGAACAACAGTAGTCTGATTTGCTCGTACCATATTACATGGCCAGCGATGAAATTACAACGGCAGTCAGAAAGATTTATTAGGTACTCTGTGGTCGGAAATGGTCACCCAGATAGAGGTAGTGCTATGTTACAGTGAGCCCCATGGCACGACATATACAGATGCAATTCTGACTAGTTACACATTTTCAAATAGAAATGTCAGTGCTCAACCTGAAGCTCTACTGTTTAAAACAACAGACAATGTCAGACATCTTGGTGTAGTTCTGGACCTAAATAAAAAACAAAACAGATCCACAGAATTACAAAATCAGCATATGACCACCGAAAAACTAAAATGTCTCAACAAGAACCTAGAGAAACGTATTCATGCCTTTGTCTTAAGCAGGCTTGATTTCTGCAACAGTGTATTTGCAGGGCTCTGAAAAAAATCAATCAGACAACTCATTCAGAACGCTGCCGCCTGAGTCCTGAAAAAAGCGAAAAGAATGTAATATCCCTGTTGTTTCAGAAGACTCAGATCATAGGGGGCACGCCTACTCATCATTCCAAGTTTCCAGGACTAAATGAGCATTTTTTATGCTTCGCAAATCTGGAATACACTTCCATAACATCTGAGGTCTGCCCCAAATCTGAGTTCTTTTAAATCAAGGCTAAAAACCTTTCTGTTTACCAATATTTAACAACATTTTGTTATTACGCTCCTGCAACTCACAGCAGCTACTGTGTTAACAATGACAATGACTCTTTTATGACTTATGACTTCTATGACTCTCCTTTTATTTAGTTGTATTTACTTTGTTTTTCTTTTGTGTGAAGCACTTTGAATGGCCTTTGTGTATGAAATGTGCTATATTAATTAGAAATAAAAACTTACCGTAACATTTAACATTACTCTTGACACACTCAAGACACATTTATGTTGAAAAGCCTTGTAAAGTGTTATTTGTGTTATGTGTCAACTTTGAAATAGGCAGGAACTAGACATCTTTGTGAAACGGACTGATGTAGACATTCATCTAATTCTAAAGTCTGATATGAATCGTCGTCCAAGCCTGTCTTTGTTAAGCTTGCCCCTGGAGCTGAACAATAACAAATGTCAGCGTAGCTTTTCACAGTATGCACAGTAATGAGAGAAGAAAAGCTCATTACAAATGTGTTGTTTTTGTAAATGTTTCTGTAAAAGAGTACTGTCCGTACCTGTGTCAGTGGATTGCACCGTTGGTCCAGTGGCCACCTGATTGTCAGCTGTAGGAGCGAGGGAGGGGGGGGGCAGGGGCTCCTGGATGTTTAACTGGCCGGGGAGTGGAGGCCTGTGGCTGTGGCTGCGGCTGGGGATGGGGAAGGAGATGGATGAGACCCTCCATGTCCTTCCTCATCTGGGTAACCACGGCACGCAGACTGCTGTTCTGATGCTGTAGACGATGGATCTCTTCTGATGCCAGAGAGCCGACCTGTGGTGTGACACCCTGGGGGGGGGGGGGAATAAACACACGTGAGAGTTGTGTACAGTATAATGTCTGCATGATCCTGTAACAAGTTGCTTTGCTGCATTTATTAAGAATTGTTGAGAAATGAGATAAGCCTCCCTTTTATTTTTCTTAAAGGTTGAATCCTGTACACATATGCTGGCTGAGAAGGATTCAAATGGAACAACCAAAGTGTCTGAAGAAAAGTGGAGTGAATATGGTAAATACAATTTTGAATGTGCACAGATAACTCTGATATCCAGGTCAGGAAAAGTCATTCAGAGGCTCTAGGAGGACAATAACTGAATAATTAATGGTACATTGTGGATGGCGCCAACCTGGTGCTGACACCTTTTTAGGGCCAGTATCCCATGGTGACGATGAACCCAGTATTTTTGAAGGTCTCGTACAGATCACGTACAATGTGTTGGAGACAAAAGTTACATAGTGATATCACTATGTTCCGGAAGTAAACAAAGAAGTCCAACAGAGGCGTTTCAGGTGGAAAGAAACTCCAGGGATTTTAGCCTTTGCAGACCATTTAGAGAAAATCATATATAACACACTACAGCAGGGGTCACCAACCTTTTTTAGGGTGAGGGCTACTTTCAAAAAATAAAACAAGTCGGGGGCTACTTTTACTCGTTTTTTGCAGTGTATATATTTAGCACATTTTAACATTATGATATGCTGACCTTTAACCTTTGTGTGCTGTTTGGGTCTGTGGGACCCGTTTTCTGTGTTTACTAAGAACATGTATGCAATTTAATTATTTTAACCTGCTTTATTTGGGGGTGGACGGGCCTCACCTCCTCTAGGGGGGTCCTCACCTCCTCTAGGGGCATGCACCCCCGGGAAGATTCTTTTTAAATGTTGAAGTGAAAAGCATCAATCTGGAGCACTTTGAGCACAACATGAATTGATGGAAACAGCTCTCAACACTCAGATGAAAGGGAGCTGTAGACTTTTCAATAATCCAAACATCTTTAGAATATGATCACAACCAATAACAAATCATTTAAACTGGTTTATTCTTATCTTATGTTTCCTAGTTAGCATTCTTTCTTTCTATTTATGCATATTTTACTAATCACTGCCCTTTCAACTGTTTTTTGTTTTTTTTTTACACATTGGAATGATTTCTTACTTCATCTATTAAATAGATAAAGGTGTGCTCTCCCTGCCTCCCTCCCTAGCTCTCTCTCTCTCTCTCTCTCTCTCTCTCTCTCTCTCTCTCTCTCTCTCTCTCTCTCTCTCTCTCTCTCTCTCTCTCTCTCTCTCTCTCGCTCACAGAGGCTGTGTGCTCCTCCGTGGCGATGACGGCTTGCGTTAAAAAATAATAATAAACATATTTGTAAAGTGGGGGGACACAAACGGGATTTAGAAAAGGGCAGGGGACATTTCCCCCCTGTCCCAGGTGGAAATTACGCCATGCGTGTGTGTGCGTCAAGTGCAATAAATATATATGCAAGTTGCAACACACACACAGAACTCTGCCCCTCATGTGTTGTATAGGCTGGCACGACTAGGCTGATCAATGGGGCTGATGTGTTGTGTAGATTCTGCCAGAAGGGAAATCAGCGGGGAGGTGCCACATTGCTTTTCTTCCCGACTGCAACGCTGGTCCCGCAAATCAAGCAAGAACGTGATTGGTCGATATTCATTGTGGGGGTGGGGGGAGGAGGGGTGTTAGATAGATATAGAGTTGTAGTAAGTAGATAGAGTTCGCTATGATTTAGGTTTTGTTTATGCATAGGGTAGATTCTTTTAATTACATTTCCTTTTTTGTTTTGTGTATTTTATACATTTTGGATTTGCTTGGCGAGCTATTTTTAGAACATGCCCCGCGGGCGACTCACGTTGCCCCTGCGGGCGACCAAGTGCCCGCGGGCACCGTGTTGGCTACCCCTGCACTACAGGAAAGGGAAAAGCATAATAGGGCCTCTTTAAAAGGTGCATTATTTGATCCAACAGGGATTTTTTATACTGATCCAATAATCTTGAATAGGTACAATTAGTACAAATATGCCAAATACTTTTCACAAATGTCCTCTGATACATGGTGACCCTCTTTAAAACTTAATTTGTTCATTGCTGTATCCATTAGATTCCTTTATTCATTTTGTTTGTATTTTTAATCATTTTTAGCAGTCATTATTAATTATCCTTGCATTTTCAAATAGATGCTTATGTGATTTGTGAATATGAAGCATTCAGGCAAATGTTCACAATTGAAGAACTTTGTAGGAACCTTCTGAATTGAGGTCCTTCAACAGTGTCAGAAGGTTTTGACCTTTATCAGGAGGCTTTGAGCACCTGATGGATTACGCTTTTCAAACATGTGTCAGTCACAGAGATGATACCCCCATTACAAATAACACGTGAAACATGCTACACACATATAGATGTGTACAGTATGTTCCCATTATAAATATTTTCTTATCATGGTGTAACCAAGTATTGAGTGTTGTATAGTTTAAACACACTCACACAAAGTTGAAGACCACCAACATATCATGCCATGCTATGAAGAATCTCATTCCAGGCATTAAGCTTAAGTGTTTTCGGAGACATTTGATACATTTTCCTCTCGCTGCCAGCAGCTCACAGAGGCTGGTATGTTGGTACGGAGCCAGACTGAAAGGCCATCATACCTCAGGATGCTGGAGGAAAAGGCCAAAGGCTATAAAAAAGGACAGCTCTAAATGCACTCTTATGAGAACTTTGTGGGGCATGAGCTGGATGCAAATCAACAATCACATGGTATATAGAGTGTTGAGGGAATGAGTCCGCATTTTATCATTTCTACGCTCCCTAGTTTTAAAGTCAATTATCTTTGAATTAGTTTTTGATTAGATTATGAAATGTATACGTTTTGTTTTACGACATAAAATACTTCAGCAAAAAGCTTTTACAGTACATTTCAAATGGCGATTGCTAACAAGTGGCTAAATTAGACTTCTAAAAATCATCACACCGAACATTAGCCACATATAGCTTAACCAGACCCGGCGCTATCCAGGACTTTTGCCATTATGTGTAGGCCATTGATGTATATTAAGAGAAAGTGTAGGCCCTTATTGTAACATGTTTTACATTTAAGCCGAAGTGAAGAAAATAAACATAATGTGTGGGAATGTGATATAGTCTTAACCTTACAGCTCATCAGAAAAAGTGAAGGTCTAGTCAAAATAAACAATGTAAAGATTTAGGTATACTGCCGGGTCTGAGTTTAGCGGGGGTGTTGTGAAGTCATGCGACCATGATGTAGTTTGTTTATAGTCTGATGTTAGCTTTTTACTTCTGAATTATTATTATGGTTAAACTATCATACAAGTGGTGTTACTACAGTATGTGGAGATTATCCTGCTGAACAAAACATGTCATTAACGTTTGTTTGCCTCAGATCTCATTTAACGCAATATTCCAAAATCCAATGTAAAGATCCCATTGCTTTTGATCAATGCAGCCATGCTAATTTCCAGGTTAGGCCTACAAAAACATGTCACGCTGCACGACTATATAGGTGTATGGGATCATATTTGACCCTCGTGTTGATGGCAATAGGTCAAATCCTCTTAAAGTAACTGCCATTATCCAGAGAGCTACAGCATGTGCTCCCCAGTACTAGTTTCATGGAAGCAGCGAGAAATACTGCAATAATAAACCGTTTTTATGTGCCATTTGTTTGTGGTTTTAGAAAGGTTTTTTGTACGAAAGCTGTTATTGCTCCTTGAGGGAAGGCATTCTGCAACGGCTGAAGGAAGGTTTCATGAAAAGTAAACCTACAGAGAACATAGAATGTGCTGTTTGTTGTTTTTAAGTGTGTCCCGGGAACCACTCTTTGGTATTGAAGTAGCAGGATAAATGAGCAAATAACAAAAGGGCCCCGCTTCACCTCCATGTCAAATAGCCAGTCAGGACTATGTTCTTTGGCTTTGTGCCTGACAAAAGTGAGAGTAATCTTCATTTATAGGCTATTTATTTTCTTGTTAAATGTTAAGGTCACTCACCGATTAATTCTAAAGAAAATATTATCTTCTGTAATTCTTTATTTATCCCTCTTATACCAACAACTGGGGCAAGCTGTTTTAAATAGGGAGCATTGTAGTGGGGGCATCATGGTGTCAGGTGTGACTGTGGTGCAATGGCAAATGGTTCACATGGCTCATGGGTCAGGTCGGGGGGCCCTTTAGCAGAATGTAGATTGGGGCCCCAGGGAACTCGGGCCTGGCTCTGTTGGCAATGTCACAGCGGCTGGATTCTGTCTCATCTTACGGGTGAAACAGAGTGCAGAGGTGACACTCAGGCGGGCCTGAGGATAGTATAAGAGGGAAGGTTATGAAGTGGAAGGACTTACTCCTGATCATTTTGGGTAAATCTGCCAAAGAATATGATATAGGCTTTGGAACTACTATAGTCTAGTCCAAAAACACTTGAGGAGAATATCCAAAACAAAACCCTGAAATCAACCAGGGTGTTTTTTTGGCCGCTGCCTCTAGCCGCTTCTCAGTAAATTGGTCGACCATGATATTTTCTTTTTTTGTATTTTTCTTATTTAGCCAAGACAACATACCCAGGAGCACTTCCTGCTGTTGTGAGGTAGCCATAACTTTCAAAACATGCATACTTCTTCTTCTACCAAATGGATTGGGGTCTTGATCAGGTGATGTGCCCGTGTTAAACGCCAGACTGATGCCGACTAAGGATTAATGATCAGTAGGCTGATGTTTTCATCTGGCCAGCCCTGGGTTTTTGCTTTGGATAATGTGTGAGTAATGTTCTATTATTTATCATTAAAGTGTTAAGGGGGAGGATATTCTCACCTGCAGTGCCTGGTCTCTCTCTGTTTTTACAGACCGTAGTAAGACACTCAAGTCCTGCAGATCTAGTTCTTTCTCATGTAGATCTGCTTTAGCCTGATAGAGAACAACATCAAACTTTAGTACAAAGATAATTACAGACTACATTATCAAACCAGCATAACAACAAAGCTGGTTTCATTTCTTCATCAAGAGGCTGTCACAGAGCGGCAAGGTTCCTTCTTGTTAGTCAAACATCCTTCATCTGGGAAGCACAGTGTCTTACCTGCAGTGTGTGTCAGCAGTAAGGTGTGACTGTCCTCCTTTTGCATTATTCATTTGAGGAGGATTTAGTCACTAATGGAAGTCATGTGATTGCCTGATTATTTTTAGACTAACAATCAGCAAGAGCCAGTTTTATGAGCAAAATGCCAAAAGGTGGATTGCGCTATACATGTTTTTTTTCAGTATTTAATGGACACACCACTATACTGGTGTTTAAAATAAGTTTATTTTATCTGCTTAAGTCTATAATGATTTGCTAAAGCATACAATAAGGTTGCTAGCTAGCTACCTAGCTAATAGTGGCAATAGTCACTTCCTGTAAGGGCACAGCCGCCGTTTGTCACACTATCATATTCACAAACTGCGCAAGTGTACGAAATGCAGTGTATTATGGGAAATATCTGAGTTGAGACACAGCATTAGTAAAGCTGGCCTTTGATGCTAATTTTACTAAAGCAGCAGCATTTTTTTTAAATAAACAATTTGCACATTAAAAAACTGACAGCAGGTAAACTGTACTATATGTATGCACCAGTAAATCCACATAGAAAGGGGTGCAAAGCTGGGGTTGTGTTATGTATAGGAAGCTTACCTGGTCTCTAGCCTGGGTCAGCTCTTGTATTAGCTGTTCATTAGCCAGGTAGTGTTGGGCCTTCATATCTTCACAGCGTCTCTGCCACTCCAGCTCAACCTGGACTTTCATCTGTTCTAGCGCCTTCTCTCTCTGCAAACCAGCACCCAGCTGCTGCTTGTACCTGATTACACGGACAGACAAGGTTAAAAAGGACTACATTCATTCATTCCTACCTGTCTAGTCCTGTCAACACTTTCTTATTCATTTATAACTATCTACCTCCATTTTACTGCAGTCTTCTCACCTTTCAATATCCTCCCTGCTCCTCTCCAGCTCAGTCCTACATTTGGTTGCTCTCTCCTGCAGGGAAATGATCTCTGTATCCTTGACAACCATCTCACTAGAGAATTGACTAATGTGCCTGTCCCAGCCAGTCCTGGTTCCATCAACCTCTGTGCGAAGCCTTGGAACACAGAGACATACAGGATCTCTAGTCAACTGGTTACATCAACACAGCTAATAGTCAATATGATCATTTCCCCCCGTCTGTCTCACCTCTGGATGGTCTCATCTTTCAGATCCATGGCATCCTGTTGGTCCTTCAGTTTGCAGCGTACCCGTGCAGCCAGAACCTCCACATTCTCATGTAGTTTAACGACGTGTTTCTCTATCTCCTGCAGCTTCTCTGTGTGGGCCTGATACTGAGCCTCCAGCTGCAGAGCGCACTCCTTCAGAGCCCGGATCACATCCTCATATCTTGCCAAACACAACAACAGAGGTTGATATTGGAGAAAATGTGGAAGATTTAGGGTAACAATAAGGTCATTTATTCACAAGTGAACACCAATGTAGCTGAATGAGTGAACAGCCACCCTGCGGGTCACATGTGCTGCGGTCTTATCAAATTCACACAATTCCTTGAGGAGAAGTCATTAAAAGGAGCTAGACATATCTATCTATTTTATTTTGGTGGCTAATGGCTACCGGTATTTCACTGAGGAATAACTTAACACTTGAATACGTTGTAAATGTAACTGTTCATAGGCTTCTTACAGAGGTGTGATTTCTTTTTCTCCTTCAATCTGCCTTTCTCTGTCTCCACAGGTCCCATCCTTGTTTAAAACTAGGGAGCTTCCGCATTGCATACTTTTGTGTTCTAACTTCAGTCCAGTTAGAGCGGAAGAAACTGTCTCAGGGTTTAAAAACACAGCTTTCATTTTTTTTATATTTGTTCAGATAAGAAAATAATACATTTGCTTCCCACTATGCGATAAGTTTACAAATATTTAGAAATGTATACCGACATTTTTGGAACTTGCTGTGTTAGAGTAGCCACACAATAGGTACATGTCGACAATGTTTTTGGGTACAGTCTCTGCCAGAAGGAGAGACACAAGCCCACATTGTAGGTTAACCCATTGGGTAGTAAACTATCATTTCATTCACAAATTGAAATCATGACCCAAAATGTTGCTTGTTAAATGAATGGCTAACATAAGCTGGCTAGCTAATAATAAGAAAATGCTAGCTAGCCATCTTACTAGCATGTTGATTTATTTTAGTTTCTGGATAAATTAATATTCATTTTGTTTATCCATCTGGCAGTGAGTTGTTATAAAAACCCTGTCAGCAAGTTATTCATTATGGAGTCCAACTGGCTGGTATGCTGATAAACGTTTGTAGTTCCTCATGGCGGAGCCATCTACGCCAAGAGACAAAGTTATTTAGATGTACTCTTATGTGACCTTAGTCCTTTTTTATTTGACATCCTTCCAGCTATTAAGGGGAATGGATGTGTAAACCAAAATAAGGTGAATAGGATCTGCGTAAACGGCTAGCTCTGACTGCTACACTGAGAGGAGTCTGTGTTATTAATTATAATCCATTTACTTACTTCTTAATGTGGTTACTCTCTTCTTTCCTCAATTTGGTCTCCATCCTTTTCAGCTTGTCCTCAAGCTCCTTTATCCTGAGACAGAAGATAGTTGGAAATCTTAAACACGTAAACACACACAAACACACACAAAAGCAGGACGGGAGCAAACCTGCAATCCTTAGCAGCAGTGAGGTCTCTGATCTCATGGTCTCTGTGTAGCAGCTGGCTTCGGAGCTGCTCACAGAACACCTCGGAGGCTTGCAGAGCCTCTTTGGACTCAGCGTGAGCCTGGCACTGAACTTCTGTCTCTTTGGACAGCAGCTTCACCTGGACAAGGACATACACACAGACACGCACGCAACAACAAATACAGAGGACCATTAGTGTGAAGGCCATGGGAAGATTAGAGGTCAGGAAATCCTACATCTAATCTCCTCGCATAATTGTGTGTGATTATTTCGATTTAGAGTACTACTTTACAATAGACCTATAGTATGAATATTAGTTAGGAATATTGAACTTAAGAACTTTGCATACAGTATATGTTCTGTGCATTTGTCTAGATTTTCTGTCCATCTTATACAAAAACCATGATAGAAAACATAAATGGACTCATAAGTTAATTAAAACACATATATTCTTACTTTCTCCTCACCTTGAGATCACAAGACAGCACCACAGCGCGCATCTCATCCATTTTCAAGTTGAACTCATGTTCCCGCTGTCTGAGCTCAGCTTCAGAAGCTGCTGTCATCTCCTGTGAACAGAGGACAGACATTACAGATGTTGTGTTTATATGTGTAATATTACATTTGTGATGATAAGAAGTGCACATGATTTCTGGAAAACCCGTCAATGCATCCACTGATTGCAATTCCAAATGGCTTAAGCTTGTCGTAACCATCAATGTGCCATACATAGTTTGGACCACAGCTGTGGTAGATGCACCTTCGCAGTCTGTTTCTTGACCTCAGATCAACACCTTCACCATCCAATAACTGTAGCAGTATTCACACTGTTTCTCTGTCAGTCACAATTCCATGTAATCAACATTTTTGGTGCATCCATCTGTAACCATGACACTGACCAGATGTTTCCAGTTGCTGTTCAATGAAGGTTTCCACCTCAGCCACATCGGTTTTATTCTTTCGACGCCAGAGCTGCTTCTTGCTTAAAATCCTTTCAAGGGTGCGTTTGCTTAGTACAACTCCATGTGAATCAGCAAGCAAATTAAGTATTTCATCTGTTAAAGTAGTCCTCAATGTACTCACAATCCATTTCCGTGTCAAGATAAATAGGAGAACTCGAGCCAAAGAGCTGCTAGTTTGTCTGTTGTGACAAAGTATCTCATAATGACTTTTTATTTCATTATTTTGACTTTCCTATCTCATAATTATGACTTTTTATCTCATAATTTCGACAAACAAATTGCACTACAACATATATATTTTTTTTACTAAATATAATTAGTGGTTAATAAGATATTTAAGGTTAATGTGGTGCATCATACACATACAATTAAATAGTCAATGAATCATTTTTGTTTGTCCTTTCCAATTCTAATCCCGCTTTATTTTGGATACAGTGAGGGGAGGATGATAATGAATCCCCTTCATTGTTATTTGAAAGGATCATATAAACAGCAGATTCCCTTCCTAGAGCCAACACTAGCCGAACAAATGTATCCTCTCCTATTGACACCTGCTGACAGACATGAAGACAGACAGACAGACAGACATGATGAACATACAGACAGACAGACAGACACACACACACACACAGACACACACACACACACACACACACAGACACACACACACACACACACACACACAGACACACACACACACACACACACACACACACACACACACACACACACACACACACACACACACACACACACACACACACACACACACACACACACACACACACACACACACACACACACACTGTATGCATGATAACAAAGCCTGCCAGCTCAGTGGTAACAGGCACCAGTCAGGGTCCGATATTGAGAGCTCTTTTGTGTGGGTTCATCCGAAAGGTCTCAATGTCTGGCTGCTCCCCCAGTTATTTTAAGTCCATTGCGAGGTTTTGAAACACAAGACGAAGAGTATATTATTGTGAAGAATTGCTTTGTGGCATAGCTTGGTAAGGCCCTAATTTGGTATCCATTGTGTCATATTGATATATTTTCTATTTATATAAGGAAA